TCTTAATGATTCTCAACATTCTGTTAGCTTTTTTGACTGCTGCTGCTCATTGAGTGGATGTTTTCAGAGAACTATCCACAATGACTCCAAGATCTCTTTATTGAGTGTTAACAGCTAATTCAGACCCCATCATTTTATATGTATAGCTGGGATTATATTTTTCAATGTGCATTTCTTTGCATTTATCAACATTGAATTTCATCTGCCATTTTGTTGCCCAGTCACCCAGTTTTGAGAGATCCTTTCGGAGCTCTTTGCAGTCTGCCTGGGACTTAACTACTAACTACTTGAGTAGTTTTGTATCATCTGCAAATTTTGCCACTTCACTGTTTACCCCTTTTCCCAGATCATTTATGAATATGTTAAATAGGACTGGGCCCAGTACAGATCCCTGGGGGCACAACTATTTACCTCTCTCCATTCTGAAAACTGACCATTTATTCCTACCCTTTGTTTCCTATCTTTTAACCAGTTACCAATCCATGAGAGAACGTTCCCTCTTATCCCATAACTGCTTACTTTGCTTACGAGCTTTTGGTGAGGGACTTTGTCAAAGGCCTTCTGAAAATCTAAATACACTATATCCACTGGATCCCCCTTGTCCACATGCTTGTTGATGCCCCTCAAAGAATTCTAGTAGATTGGTGAGGCATGATTTCCCTTTACAAAAACCATGTTGACTATTCCCCAACAAATTATGTTCATCTATGTGTCTGACAATTTTGTTCTTTACTATAGTTTCAACCAGTTTGACCGGTACTGAAGTCAGGTTTACCAGCCTGTAATTGCTGGGGTCACCTCTGGAGCCCTTTTTAAAAATTGGCGTCACATTAGCTATCCTCCAGTCATTTGGTACAGAAGCTGATTTAAATGATAGATTACAGACTACAGTTAGTAGTCCAGCAGTGTCACATTTGAGTTCCTTCAGAACTCTTTGATGAATACCATCTGGTCCTGATGACTCAAAACCTCCTCCAAATGACACCTCAATCTGGAACAGTTCCTCAAATTTGTCACCTAAAAAAGTGGCTCAGGTTTGGGATTCTCCCTCACATCCTGAACCGTGAAGACAGATGCAAAGAATTCATTTAGTTTCTCCGCAATGGCCTTATCATTCTTGACTGCGCCTTTAGCATCTCGATCGTCCAGTGGTCCTATTGGTTGTTTAGCAGGCTTCCTGCTTCTGATGTACTTAAACATTTTTTTGCTATTACTTTTTGAGTCTTTGGCTAGCTGTTCTTCAAATCCTTTTTTGGTCATCTTAATTATATTTTTACACTTCATTTGCCAGAGTTTATGCTCCTTTCTATTTTCCTTACTAGGATTTAACTTCCACTTTTTAAAGGATGCCTTTTTGCCTCTCACTGCTTCTTTTACTTTGTTGTTTAGCCATGGTGGCTCTTTTAAATGTTTTTTAATTTGGGGTACACATTTAAATTGAGCCTCTATTTTGGTGTCTTTAAAAAGTTTCTATGCAGTTTGCAGGGATTTTACTTTTGGTGCTGTACCTTTTAATTTCTGTTTAACTAACCTCCTCATTTTTGTGTAGTTCCCCTTTCTGAAATTAAATGCTACAGTGTTAGGCTGCTGTGGTGTTTTCCCCACCACAGGGATGTTAAATTTAGTTATATTATGGTCACTATTACCAAGTGGTCCAACTATATTCACCTCTTGGACCTGATCCCGTGCTCCACTTTTGCCAGTAGGGAGTATTCCATCCTTATGGTGAATCAGAATGTTTTTAACATGTATACACGTAAATATTAATATGCGTTTGTGATCTAAAAAGTGATTGTCAAACCTTATAATTTTTTTCTAAAATCATATGATTTGTCCAAAATAGCATACTAGAGTAGCACTCTCTATAAACTGCAGGTTTTTTGAACCATGTAAAAGATCCCATGGCACTATTCATAAGGTCTTGGGTTTGTCTTGGTATCCTTGGACAAATTCCCCTTTCCTTCACTGTTAACTGTTTGCCCGCTGATAGCTCCTCTTCCTCAGATGTGTCTGTATCCAGCGTTTGGATGCTCTGCTCTCAGAGAATGTAGGATGTTGTTTGACTAAAAACTCTCAGGGAGTTAAAACTATCCTACTTATCTGAAAGCAAATGGATGGCCTGGAGGGAACTGCAACAATATGCTTTCCATAGAAATAATGCCCAGATGCCCTTTCCTTTCAACAGCATCATTATGGGTTTTACTAATGACAGATTAAATGAGAGGGGAACAGACTGTGAAGTATCACTAGCAGATGACCCTTGATAAATCTGATAATCTAACTTAAACATATATCTACAGCATATTTATATGCAATGGCTATGTTTCGAGACTAAGAATTTTATCTTCTCATCCAACAGAGTCCCATCAGCTTACAAGTGGTAAGATGACTGATCAGCCTTGATAGCCCCTAGTCAGTTTTAGAATTGATTATTTCTCACTATGAGGAACAGTCAGTCTACTTCAGAGAATGATAGTTCAGATGATCTCCCAGGAGCCATAGGAGAAGTGTCAAGGCAGGAGGGAAGGAAATGCACCATCCTTCCTGAGTTTCAGCCATTGCCCTATTTGGATGTTTAGATTCTCTTGGAGAGATGTGCAAACAGGTGGAGAATGTCTGGGTCCATTATTGTTGGAGATTAATAATGCCTGTTTATGAGAGGGACACCAGCCATTTCAGACCTGGTCCTGGCTGCGTCTCATTGGTTGGTGATCTATGTGGGACAACGGACAGAACTGCAAGTACCTAGCAAGGGCAGAAGGAATCACTTCAAAGTGGTTCTGCTTGTTCCTGTCAGAGATATCCCAGATGGTGGTGATGGGAAACTTCTCTGCCTTCTCTAGAGCTCTCAGTCATGCCACTCTCATTGTTGTTCAACATTAAAGTAAAACTACTGGGGAAAGACTGTGAGGTATGGGTTACAATGCCCATCAATATATTGATGGTTCAAGTCTGTCTAGTTTCCAACAGCCCAGGCAGAACTGTTCCATACTCTCTTAATATCTGGCAGAGATAGGGACCTGGAAAACCTTTTGATTCAATCTGGATAAGGTGGAAGTGATGGTGATTGATAGGAGAAAGCATTTTAAAGTCTGACCACCCATTCTCAAAGGGCTTTGCAATATCAGGGTCTTATAGACTCATGTCTGCTCCTGGATTCTCAGATAGCACCAGTGCTGAGAAACACCTTCTTTTAGCTGACCAAAAGATTGTGACTGTTCCTTTTTGATGCAGAGCTCATCACAGTCATCCATGCCTGTGTCCCTTCTAGTACTAGAATACAGCAATGCCTTCTACCTGATACTAATCAAGTAGGCAACTCAGAAGTTTCACTTGTGCAAGATGTAGGTGCCTGCCTTCTGAACAAGGTGGACTAGGGAGTGTTAAAGACCAGAGGTTCTCACCTTGCACTGGCTGCTAGTCAACTTTGAAGTGAAATTCTAGGTTCTGGTCACCATCTACAATGACTTAATGGGCTACGACCAATCATGCCACGTATGTTCGTCCAGAATGCCTATGCTGTCACAAAGATGAGGCTTCAGGGAGCTGTGGGAGGATATTCTTGGTAGTAGGCCATCTACTTGGGAATTAATTTCTGCTAGAAGCTCTCCTGCCTTATTTACCCAAGCCTGGTCACATTCAAAAAGTGCTATTAAGACTCATCACTTTGTACAGACTTCCTGCTAACTGCCAGCTCTAGTGCCCCAAGCATTCAGCCTATTGTCAATGTTCTCCTCATCTCTGTCCTTTAAGATGAGGAGCTGTGGGAGCCATGGGGAATTTGCTTCCTATGCTAGGAGATCATTTTGCTTTTAAGCTAAGACCGGTAAAGTGAGCCTAGATATTACAGTGATGGGTATCTTATAAATGTTTGCAATAATTAATAATAATTTAATAACAGAGTTAGTGAATGGATCATTTATCCTCATTATTCCTTGAAGCTAACAACAGGGTCATGCAATATTGTACATACTTTCCAGGACTGACATGGCTGTCTATATGAGTGAAAGGAATGAGAAAGCAAGGGAACAGGAGAGAAGCAGTGTGACTGTGACACTGGGAGGGAGCCATGAGAGCTTTTTGGGGGCAGTATTTACTGAGAAAGCAGGCTTGGATTTCTGAAAGAAACACCTGACTCATATAATCAATTTTTCTTAACAGAAACAACACAGCAAGGGTCCAAATATTGGCTAGCTGTTTGGGCCATGTGCAACATTATGAATTTGAATTCTTCCCCCCACTGTATCTGTGCATTAACAGAATAATCTAAGCAAAATATGGTCACCTCTGTTAATATGTACAGTCTCTCAAGGGATGCAGTTCCTACTGCTTGGTACATTTAATTATAGAATGATTAAAATACTATACTGTGTGCTAAAAGGAATAATCCCACACTGGGAGGGGAACAGGCTGAATGACCTAGTATGATTTTTCAGTCTGGTGCTTCCACACATTTATGAAAATGAGACTCCCTTTGATCAGGCCCTATCTCTTACCTTGTATCCCTGAAGTGCCAATGCACACCTATGCTCCAGAAGATAAAACTGAATTATGAATGATCATTATCATATGCACTAATTGCATTATATCTATTGCTGGAAAATAAACAATAAATCTCCAAGTGCAAAGTGTCCTTGGGCAGATCTCAGTTGACCTTGGCTGGGCTGGCAATGACAGACGGCAGGTTTAGCAGCGGTTGGAGGCAGTGGCTGTTCTAAGCAGACGTTTTCCTGGTTTCTATGAAAGCTACAGAGGTCCTGCATGAGCGGAGAGCCGGGTCTGCAGGTTGCGTGCTGAGTGCATGGGCAGCGCAACCAAAGCATTACAATCACGGCTACAGCAGAGAGACTCACGCAAGGCGGCAGCAACACCACCCAGCTGTTCCTTAGCCCAGGCCCAGGGGGCGGTGAGAAACACAGCAGGGGAGCGCGCGTGCTCAGTAGCACGCCCAACCCCTGGGTTCGCATGATGACGTCAGGACAGGGTGTGCACGTGGCCCTAAGACCAGCTGGAAGCTCGCGCGGCTGTTGCTGTTGCAGCAGCTAGAAAATCGCTCTCGCTCTCTGGAGCCTCCTTGAGGGGCTGAGCGCGGCTGGGACTGACTGTCTGTCCTTGCACCATGTTACTGCAGTTGGAGAGGTATCAGCGAGAGTGGCGAGAGCTGGAAGAGGAATTTCAGCAGCTCCAGGTGATGGGAAGCGGCAGGGTTTTGCAAAGTGGCCAGCCAGTGCTTTGCTTTGGGATGGGGGGGGGGAGCTTTTGCTTTGCTGTGCTGTGTTTATATCCACACCCCTTTGTGTCCCTGAGCTATGCGTTAAGAGAGGGTTGGGACCGGGCCCCATCGCAGCCAATGGGCTTCTAATGCAGGACTCTCTCAAGCTGGGTCATGCTGATTGAGAGAAGGAGATTTGAAAAACGTCTGTTAAAAATCCCAAACGCTTCACCACCGACAGAAGTGGTGTGTGTTGGGGTGGGGGTGTCCTTTTTAAAACATGTCTAAAAATGAATTGTCCCTCGGCCTTCCCCTGTGAGGGACACCCTCTGCAGCTGGAGTGAGACCTGGCAGTTCTGATTATCTCTAGTATCAGATGAACCTAGGCTTGCATTAGAGGAAGCCTGTGATTGGTAAGTGAGGAGGGAAAGCCTTGGGATTTGCCGTGCATGGAAGGATTTATGCTGTGTATCCGCTAGCTATAGCCCTCCTTTTGCTCACTGTGGCTAATAACTTTCTGGAGAAAGTAAAAGGCTGTAGAAGGTTGCATTGGATCATGGATGCAATGCTTGTCAGTGAGGAGAGAAACTACTTGAGTAAGGATTTTATTTTTTCTAGAGAAAACTACTTTCTGTACAAAAAGATAATTCTGATTTTTTTTTTTATTGAACAGTTTCTGACAAGCTCTTAGATTTATTCCTTTTGGCGTATTTTTATTCTGCTTCAGATGAAATAATTAACTGAACAGCAATATTTTAAAAAAAAGCCTACAAACACTTCAGTGGTAGGTAATATCCTTAAACTTTTTTAGGGTCCATTAGTCAGCCTTTCAGTTTCTCATGATACCTGTTCCTATTGGAGAGTGTATTATTTAACTTTATTTATGGGGTGTTTATTGCAGTGTTAGGAGAGAGAATAATTTATTTTATTATGAATAAAGAAAATACTATGCATAGAACTGCATTTTTGAATACAACAGCCAAATTAAAGCTCTTTTGGCATCCCCTGTATTAGTTCACCTGTAAATCTCAATAGCAATACTTTATACTATTTGCTGGGGAAGGGGAATTTACATTCTAAGACATATGAAAAGATGTTCACTTGATGATGATGATTACTCTTCCAGATGCTGCTTTACACTTTGTTATATTAAGCTTGAATTTAATTTGATTCACTCCTATTAGTGCATTTTGGATCCCAGAAGATCAGATTCTAACACCTTGTGGTTTCTGTTGCTGTTTAGGGAATCTGCTGTAGTTTGAGTCTTGGCATTGAAGATTTATTAGGAGGTAGGGTGGATGAGGTAGTATCTTTTATTGGACCAACTTCTGTTGGTGAGAGAGACAAGCTTTCAAGCTACACAGGAAGCATTCACGTTAGCACATCCTTTCCAGTTAGTCTATGGTTCTAATGTTATTTCTTAAATTGCAGAAAAGCTGTTTCTGCTGCTTACTGTAGCTGTATTCTGTGTGGAGAAAAGCTGAGAAAGCATTTCATGCAGATGTAAGCATGGGGATCCTGTAGCACTTCAGCACAGAAGTGGCTAGTCTTAGGGGTAATGCTGGAGTAACACCATTACTAAACATGGCTCTAAACATTTATTACAAGGATGAAACTTTAATGCAGGGTTGTGTGTGAATATATGTGAAGGGAAGGAGGTGAGGAAGGAGTCTCAGTGCATTGTTGCCTGCATTAAATGACCATTAAATAGTAAGCCTGGGCAGGTAGATGTGATATGTAATTTACATGTTGTGTTCATGTGATACTGCTGTAAAGTATCCGAGGTGGGCGATGCATAACACTAGGAAAATTGTATGGAATATGTAGTTTCTGTAGCACTTTTTGTATGCAAGATGGATTACAAATGGTGCCCTATGTATGCTGTGGATCTCTGTGTGTCTATATCTAAATGCAGCTACATAAATAATGAGCCTAGTTTTCACCATGTACCAGCTCTACACTACACAATAGTGTAGAGAAGGAACTGAGGGCAGTTCGCCCACATGCCCCTACATAGCCTCAGTGTCTGGCATGAGGAAGCATGGGATGCATGTATGTAAAGGCACTGTATTTGTATGTGGTGAGGAGGGGCGTTGAGTGGTTTTTTTTTTTTTTTTTGGTGTCTTTTTAAATGAAAAGTTATTTAGTTCCCATATCAAGATATTACCCTAAGCTTCTAAGATGATTAAAGTCCCTGCAGTACTACTTGCAAGAGTAAGTGTGTGAGCCCCAGCGCTCCACCAAATTCCAATTTGGCAAATCACTTTTATTGCAAATCACGTTTCTTACAAGTGCTGAATAAATAATTATTCTAGTCTAGTTAGTTTAGAGTCGCAAGGTTATTGTGGGGGGATGTCGCAGTTTTGCCACTCTTACTTCTGCATTGCTGTGTGGCCAGAGAGCAGATGGCACTGCCGCCACCAGTAGCTGGGCAGAAGTAAGGATGGCATGGTATGGTATTGCCACCCTTACTTCTGTGCTGCTGCCTTCAGAGCTAGGCCCTTGGCCAGCAACTGCCACTCTCTGGCCACCCAGCTCTGAAGGCAGCAGCACAGAAGTAATGGTGGCAATACTGTGATCCTCCTACAATAAACTTGCGACTCCCCTATAAACCTCTTTTGGGTAAGGACCCCTACAGTTACTACACCATGAAATTTCAGATTTAAATATCTGAAATCATTACATTTATGATTTTTTTTTTTTTTTTTTTTTTTTAAATCCTATGACCGTGAAATTGACCAAAATGGACCATGAATTTAGTAGGGCCCTATGCATAACATTTCTAAGACATGGGCTTTCCAATCCATCCACACTCTCATATAGGCACTCATCATCTTGTGGCTCTAATGCTGCAACACCCTTTTCTCTGGCCTTCACAAATGCTGCCTTGTTTCACTCGTTCAGAATGCTGCTGGAAGGATAACTTTCGTAGCCTGTTTTTTGACCCTTTCGTCCCTCCGCTGTCTCCCCCTTCTCTGTCGCATCAAACAAGCTACTTTGTCTTTACCTTCAAGGCCTTTCATGGACATCCCCCCCCACCCTACCTGTCATCTCTCATTCGCTATTTAGAGGCTAACTCCTGCCTCTGACTCGTCAACAGTGCCAGCTTCCATCACGCACTAGTTACATTTTCAAACAAGCACCTTTGTGCCATCCCTCCTTCCCCCACCCCGAAGATTGAAGGTTTATTTCTGCCCCCCAGCGGCCGCGTGCAGACAGCAGCCGCCCCCCCTTCCCAGAGTCCGTTCCCAGGCCTAGCAGGCCAGTAGCTGTGTCCGAGGGAGAGGACATTAAATAAGAGTAATGCGTCCTGAGGTGTGGGCTGTACCCGTCTGTCTGTCCAGCTGTACATACATTCCTGTCCCGGGAGGGGCTGTGGGTGGCTGTGTGGCCAAGGCCTGCGGGGCAGCCTGCTGCAATCCAGTGCTTACTTGCGGGGCCGGTACGCGATTTTTCCTGCCCTTTAGTACAGACCAATTGTGGCGCTTCAGGTAGTAGACGAGGGGTGCCAGGAGGCCAACATCATCAGCATCTTCATTCCCATGTGCTTGCGGTGATCGTGGGAGGAGTTCCCTGTAAACTCTGCCTATTATGATGATCAAGAGTCTGTCTCGTAGTATTTCCCTGTCTGTAATGTATCACCTGTTGTCGCTTGTCTTATACTCAGATTGTAAGCTCTCTGGGGAAGGGACTGACTTTTTGTTCTGTTTGTACAATGGCTGGTCCATGGTCCTGAGCCATGATTAGAGCCCCTTGGTGCTATGGGAACACAAATAATTAATAAGACTCTTGGATTCTGTTTATTCCTCCGTTACTGACTTGATGGGTGACCTTGAGCGAGTAACTTGCATGTTAATTTTCAAAAGTGAGTAGTGATTTTTGGGTACCTTACTTCAGACATCTTAAAGGGGCTCACCCCACCCCCCAAGTGCTGATCATCTGCTCTCTAGAAATGAGGCCTCTTTAAGCTGTCTGAAGCTGGGCACCCTAAATTACTAGTTACCATGTCTTGGTTTCCCAATCTGTACATGTAGGAGGGATGTCGAGACTAAATGTTTGTAAAGTGTTTTTGAGTTAATTGACTGGAAGGGAGGAGCCAATGGATCTATATAGTTCTGGACCCCAAGGCACACCTCCACACTGGAACCTTGAGGAGCACAGTTCTGGTGCACAGGAAATGCTGAACCTCATGGCATGTGCTCCTGGCAAACTGCCTTCTTCCTTCCAGCCCTGCGTGGCACAGCCATACCAGTTCTGCTGCTTAGTTGGGCCTCATGCATCTATGGAAGATGTGGGGTAAGGATTTTCCCCATAGTGACTAAATAATCAAGTGTGTGTGTGTACACGTGTGCGGATGTGCACAGAATTTATCTCTGTCTACTAGGTATGTCAGCATATTGCTGGTCTTTATATACCAGCTAAATAAGCCTTGCAACAGCCCTGTGAGGTAAGTAGGTGTATGTGTATCTGTGTACATGTGCCATGCACAAGCCTAATTAATCAAAAGTGTGGTGTGTGTAGTAGAAGAACAGACCTATTTAAAAAAACAAACACACACAAATTTAAATGTGCTATCATATTATGGTCGCAATTTACACTCAGAATGCACCTTTGATTTCCCAAATATGTAGGGGAAATATGTAGAAACATGACTTCCATTTGTATAAATGGGTAATCGTTGAGGCCATGACACTGCAGAGCTTATGAACTCAAGGAAAGTTGCAGTATTTACAACCTTGCAGAGCTTATCAACTTCACATAGGTGCCTTTCTCCTAAGAAGCTAAAGTCCTTAAATGATCAGCACAGAGTTTTCCACATAGAAAGTTATGCACTGAAGTTAAACGTCTAGGGACGTATTTGACCTTTGGATTATGCTAGCTAACATAATAGGAGTCATGCACCCACTGAACTGCAAAAAGGGACCCTTTGTAAACTTTCCCCAGATATTTCTTAATGAGTAAATAATTTCGCTGTAAAAAAATTTTTCTTATGGACATTGATGTGGATTTTACAACAATTGTCTGCTTTCCTGCAGTTGTGGAACTCGCAATCTTTTACATCTATGTGTTTTTAATTAAAGTCTTTTAAGGAAAGTTGAGGCAGAACCAGAGTGTAAAATATATTTAAGAACATTTTAACTCCCTTTGGAAATTAACTTTTTTTTTAACCAGACAATGTAAACAGTCAAAAGAATTGATTGCACAAGCTCAAGAGAAGCAGAATTAGTTAATATTTAAACTGCCTTCCATTAAATAACTGATTCTTAAAAATTAATTTGAGGGGCTGTGTCCAGTCCTGGAGATAGTTATTTTGATTATGGCTTTGCTGCCACTACTTACAGGGGGTTTTGAAACTGAAATCCAGTGTATACAGTACAATTTGTGTTGCATTCGGATTGTGCGTGTATATATAGTGAACATGTGTTAAACCCTTATGAGAAAAGAAGCAAATGTGTTTGTCTGTGTATTTTTACCACACTAAGTACTGCTGAATGATCTTAAGAAAACTGGCAAATGTATAATTGAACTCCCTCTGATCTTTACTTGAGGTGTGATTAGTGGATAGACCTGCCATGCAGATATAGAATCATAGAAATGTACTTCTGGAATGGACTTTAAGAGGTCATCAGGGATGGTCTAGACAGTATTTGGTCCTGCCATGCGGGCAGGGGACTAGACTCGATGACCTCTCGAGGTCCCTTCCAGTCCTAGAATCTATGAATCTAGTTTCTAGTCCATCTCCTCATGTGAGGCAGGATTAAGTATACCTAGGACATCCTTGGCAGATGTTTGTCTAACTTGTTCTTAAAACCATAGCCCGTGCCGATGCTTAACTATGCTTTATAGTTAGAATTGTTGCAAACCAATTACTTTTGTCCTACCCTGTGTGGACATGGAGAACACTTGATCACCATCTTATTTATACATTTTAACCCCTTCCTCTTCTCCAGTCCAAAATCTTATAAAGCAATGACTAAGATTTTAAATTGGTAGCATGAAGTTGGATTTAGGCACCAAAATAAGTGGCCTGAGTTTCAGAAATCTTGAGCATCCAGAAGTGCCCTTTGAAGTCAATTGGCACTGCAGGGTGCTCAGCATTTCTGAAGATCAGACCACTTATTTTGGTGCCTAAGTATGAACGTGAAGCCTAACTGTAGGCACAGATGGGTTTTTTTGAAAATCTTGGGCAATGGATTTGCCATAACACTGGGTATATTAAGGCTCTGTCTAATGTGTTAAATTGACTTTTGTGGGAGGTTAAAAAAAAAAAAAAAAGAGGGTGGGGTTAATTATGAATGTAAGGAGAACACCCTTTATGTTAGAATCAGAACTCTGCCAGCTACAACAGCTATACTGACTGGCATTACAGAAATGTGTATGTAATAAAGATTCTGTTCAGAAATGGGTGGTTACCCTTTCGTAGTATTCAACCGCTTTCTGTGTCCAGTGTAAACAGGCATTTGTGTTGCTTACACACTTAGAATCACGCTTGCAGAACTCTCTATAGACAAACTTCCCTCAGCTAGTTCATAGCACAGTTGCTATTTGGCTTGTGATCATACTGTGTATAGGTGAAAATGGTGTCGTCTGGCTGGAATTGTGTTTCGAAAAGGGCTTCTGACCTAGTTTGGACAAGGATTTGGTGTCTATACAATGAAATGAGTTGTGCTTGTCCAGGGTGTGTTGTGTCATGTCTTCAGGCTGTGTTGAAAACAATTGTCTTACTGGTGGGGACGCAGTCAACAGAGTAGAACATCTGTTTTAACAAAACTGGCTGTGTAGCATTCTAACCAATAGGTATCATGGTTTGCCACAATTGGTGTTGAGCTTGGTTTTCTGACTGTTGTGGATGGGATCAACCACTTTCACTCCAGGTTGGGAGGACCTGGGAGAAAGCTATGTCAGATGCTTGTTGTTAGACATAATTGTTCTGTATAAGTTCTTCTACCACACTCGTCACCATAGCAGCGGAGCACTAAGTGATGTGACTACATCTGTCGTGTGTGTGATCTCTCCCATTCTTTCCCTGGGGGAGAAGTGTGTTGCAGTAGTGTCTTGTCTTTGGAATTTTTTTTATAATTCACAAAAATACATGTTGCCCCCCCTATGTTTGATAGAGAAGGCAAAGTTAAAGGAAGATGCCTTGCACTTGGAGTGGAAGTTGGTGAAGTTTTTGATGCTCCTTAGTTCCTGTAGGTGTTCACTTCACAGTCTGGAACTGGCCCCTGAGAAAGTTCTGTCTTCTGCACCATGGAGCTTCACCCTTAATGCAACTTTTTACAATGCGCTAGAGGAGGCAAGCTATCGCTCGTGGTCTTCATCTCCGAGGTTTAGTTGATCTAGCTACTCAATGACCTGGGCCCAGTGTAACTTGAAGATCAGGACAGAGACCTTGAACTTGATTTGATATTCTATGGGAAGCCAGCGTAGAGAGCAGAGGACAGGTTTGATGTGTTTGTTGGGAAGGCAATATACTGCAGCATTCTGTATCAGATGGAGCGTCGTCCTAAGAGCTGAAGGCTTCATGCCCAGGTATATCACATTGCTTTACTCCAGCTGAGAGGTGAAGGCCTGAATAACTGAGGCCAGGTCATCATTTGTCAGGACTGGATGATGTTTCCTAGCCGATGGTAGATGGGAGATGGTAGAAAGCGTTATTCATGGATGTGCAATGTGAGAGCTTAGTGCCAGTAGGAATCCAGGAGCATTCCTGAGGTACAGACTGAATTGACCGATTGTGGCTGTATACCTTTAACCAAATAAGACTGCACCATAGCTGCAAACTCTTCAGAGTTCTTTCCTGGGCCCACCAGCATAACCTCTGTCTTGCTTGGGTTTAGCTTCAGCCGGCTGGTGTGGCCATAATGTGGTGAATGATAGTTGGTGCTGAAGCAGCTTTAATGTGTACTTTTGTCCCAGACTAACTTAGCAAGGGCAATAAATCCAACATAAAGAGTGAAGAAATTACCCCGTTAGCCTGCAAGCTAAAATGAGGGGTGTGCGTAGGTGCAAGGAACATGCACATGTGCTCACAGGCGGTGGAAAAGCCAGTCAAACAGTAATTTCTGGGTTCAGAAAGTGAAAACATGACAGGTTTTGATGAGGAGGCTCTTCTTTAAAGAGGGCTTGTCAGGCTGCAGGGAGTGGCAGACTTCAAACTATATCTGTTAATCAGAATATGGTACTGGTTACTAGTCATTCCAATTTGTTTAATTAGCAAAAGTGGTAAAGAGGGTTTTATGTTTTAAACAAGATCTGTTTTCCTCTTTTCTTCCTAGCTCTTCATCTCCCATTTTATTGTACAGTGAAATTGGAGTCCTTGATCTGTCATTTAACCAGCCATTTCACAGAAACAGATTGGGATGAAACATAGGATTATGACTTTACTGCAGGATCAGACAGGAGGAGGAGATTTTTTTTTTTTAGGAGTGGAAAAGCTCATTATGAAGTATAAATGACATCCTCAGTAACAGCAAGGGAAATGAAGAAAATAGGAGACATCCATCCTCTTTATATAGGCTTTTTATTTTTATTTTTTATGTGAAATTTATAATCACTTGGACTGGGCATCTGTGCCATAGGTATCCTGAGAACCTTGCATAGAATGAAACCAATTTATGATAAAGGGAGCAGTTGGCCATATTTCAGCAGCAGATACCTTCCCCAGCAGGAATGACATCAAAATCATGAAAATTACTTTTGTTTTTGGTGGTGGTGTTGAGGAACCACGGCTCCAGCTGAAGTCACTGGGAGATGCAGATGTTAATAATCTCAAAACTAGGGTGCATGGTAAAAATAGCACCCACAATTACAGGCAAACCTGTTCCTTAGGCAGGCAGGAGCAAGCCGGAGAAGCAACCTGGGCCTCTGCTCTCCCAGAAAAACAGGGTGTGCCTTGTTTTTGTTTTTTATTTTTCTCCTAAGGTTTTTCTGACTTAAAGAGATTACATCTTCTTTCTGCCTATTTTCTCTGCTCTCTTGCAGGAAACTCACAAGGTCTATAGACAGAAACTTGAAGAACTCAATAACTTGCAGACTGCATGCAGCAGCTCCATTCGTAAACAGAAGAGGAAATTAAAAGACTTGAAATACAGCCTCCAACGGTAATGGGATAGTCTTGGGGGGGTTCTCCTGAGTGACTGAAATACAGGTTATAATTATTGTTTTGCTGCATGTCCAGTCTCCTAAAAAAGCGAGCAGCCTTAGGTTATCACAGCTGTGTAAATTTTGATTTAACTTCTACCATAATAGATTCATAGAAGTAGAAAAGACCACCTAGATCATCTAGTGTATCCCTCAGGAGCCAGTATGGAATTGCTCCCTACAATATATTTTGTGTTAGGAATATTTTTATACTATAGGACTGCATTGCCATCAGTCTGTTACCTGTAGTTTTATTAGTAAGATAAAACTCAGTTCCTTCTAACTATGGAAAAGTCATATGAATTCGCTGGTAGCAATGTGGTTGCATTTGAAGGTAAATTTTAATCTTCAGTGGTATTCTTCCAATGTGGTGCTTGGATACTCAACTCCCACCAACAACAGGAGCTGTGTGCTTAATTCCATTGGCACTAGGCTAAAAATATTGCCTTTAGTGTCTCTCAAGGTTGCAGGTTACTTCCAATTTTCACATTAATTTTTGTTTTACCAATTTTCCCATAAATTATAGGCTATGACAAATCACATGTAGTGTAGGAATATTTTAAGCCCAAAAACCTGCAACAGTAAAGCTACGTTCTAGCTAAATTTACAAAAACTCTATGATGATTTAATGTTTAGAGATAAATATATGGGGTATCTCTTCTGGCTTATTGGAGACTTTAATATACTTCTAAAACAGGAATAGTCTTTATAATTTTTTTTTGAGATTTAAAGATTACATTGCAATATTTGTATTGGTTAACATTTGCTTCCCAATTCATCAAATATTTATCTTTTAGAGTTTACTGTCAGTGTTAGATCATATGTAAGCATTGATTAACCGCCAGACTAAGGTACATGTTTATAGAGAAGGAGATGAGGAATTGATAGTGTTCTACTACATGGACTTTTAGTTATCATCTACTAATATTTCCTTTTCAGAATTTCCTGATGAGCACTTGGAAATGGGACAATAAATTGGGTCACAAGTGGCAAACGTTGAAAGAGGAACTCCCCTTTCCTTCTGTTCTACCACTACAAAGGAATACTCCTGAGGGCATTCTGCGCCAGAAAATTAAAAATGCTGCATCCAAAAAAAAATTCTGCACAGAATTTTAAAAAATTCTGCAAATTTTATTTGTCAAATAAATGTGGAGGCTCCAGCATGGCGTTGGGGAGCACAGGCCACTGGCTGCACAGAGGTGGGAGATCTCTGTGCAGGCCTCCCTCTCCCCCGGACATGGACTCAGCGGTGAGGTTGCACCCAACCCTGACACAGCGCAAGGACCTGGCGTGCCCCAGAAACACCCCAGGGTCCTGCTCCCTCTGTGCCAGATGCATCAGGTGTTGGCAGGAAGGCAGGCTCAGCAAGGCAGGATCCAAGTGTGGAGGGGCTTAGTGTGGGGGACTCCAGGTGTGAGTTGAGAAGGTTCTGTGTGGGGCAATCTGGGTGTGGGCGGCTCAGTAGGGGATCAGGCTGCGGGGAGGATCTGGATGCACAGGGGCTTGTTGGGGGGGTTCTGGGTGTAACGGTAATGGGACTCTGTCAGGGGGTCCAGGTGAGAAGGTGGTTCGGACTCAGTGTGGGGGTCTGGGAGTGGGGGCTCAATGGGGAGGGTCCAGATGCTGAGGGGGTGGGGCTCAGTGGGGTGGGTATCCAGATGCAATTGGTTGGGGCTCGGTGGGGTGGGAATCCAAGTGTGGGTGGCTCGTTGGGGCAGTCCAGGTGCAGGTGGAGTGGGGCTCATCTGGGGGGTTCTGAGTGCGGGGTCGGGGGGGAGAGGCTCGGCGGTAGGGTCAGGGTATGAGGGGGTCTGGATGCATGGGGGGATTGGGCAGATGGAAGAGCAGCTCCCTGTACAGCTGAGGAGTGATGGGTGCAGGAGGTGGGGGTGGGGAGTTTGCAGAGCTTCCTGCCGCTGGGGGAGAAATCTGGGGATAGGTCTGTCCCAGCCCCAGATGCCGTGCAGAGGAAGAGGAAGTCCGGTCCTCCCCAGCCTGGCTGGGACTAGCAGCTAAGCCCGGCACAGGATAGGAGCCACCAGCCAGGTCTTCCCCCGCCCCATGCCCCCACAGTAATTTACCTCTCTGCCGGCTGCCCTGGGTACCCGAAACACACTGCTGGGGAGGATCGACCGACCGCTCTTGTGGCTTCCCTGTCAGAAAGTAATTTTTCTGTGGGGAAGCAAAAAAATCTGCAGGGGACATAAATTCTGTGCATACACAGTGGTGCAGAATTCCCCCAGGAGTAGAAGGAATCTGCATTTTTCCCCTTTGTTTTGAGCTCTGGCAGGCTGTTCCCTATCTGTTCACACATTGGCAGTTGCAACTGGAATAGTCTCTTAGCAGAGCTGGGCAGGAACTTAAAAAATCCACAGAAGTGTCATCTTGCTATATAGTTTGGAGATGAAATTTGTCCCTCCTCCTCACCCCCCTCAAATTCTCTCTCCTTTGGTACAAAGCAGTGAGCTCCATATGACAATCTATTTTAGAGATTTTTTTAAAAATATCCATTATTGCACTGTTTCAGCACTTATATCTCTTCCTTCCAGCCATAAGAACTTTGTGTGCTGAGCAGCAGTATGATTGAGGTTAGAGTCACAAAGCAGTTAATGAAAAGCCCTCCTATTGCTCTAATATTGTCTGTATTCAGCAGTGCTTAAACTGGCACCACCTGCTGTCCCCAGAGCTGCTGATTTCAATAGAGGAGACACTGCAGGAAGAGCTGATCAGAAGGTCCTTTTCCCCTGCCTTCCTCCATCTAATGTACCATTAATTGTGTAGGGACCAAATCGATCTCTTGAATTTAAATTAGTTTAACATCCTTTCACTTGGGGCTCTGTAGGATGCATGATGTCACTTTGAAAGGCTATACAGCGTGGGTTTGTTGTTGGGGTTTTTTTTGTTTTTTTTCCTCTTCAGATTGCCTTTTATGAAGTTTATGGTCTGGATAGAGATTTTTCAGTTTAAAAGCATACTCAGATCAGTTTAGAATTTTTAAAAGCAAGCTTTTATAAAACATCTGTAAGACGATATTTAAAAAAAATTAAAGATAATGAAAAGCTCCTTTTGAAAAGGGATTCATAACATTACTTAGCAGTTTTTGGGGATCGAAACATATAGCATCCTGCTAATGAACTGAGAAACAAAAAGCGAAATTGATCAGAACTTTTCACATTAGGTTATAATCATTGACTAGTCTTTCTGTTGCTTAAGCTGAACATAGTGTAAAAGTAAAGAGAGAGTGTAAACAGAGGAAAGTCAATTTTTTTTCCCCAGTTTTAACAACCAAAGTTTAAAGGTAAGCTCTTGCTGTTAGAAGTGCTGGTAAGGAAAAAACTTTATTAAAAAAAAAAAAAAAAAAAAGTTGCCGTGTTTAAGCTGGTTTTATGCCCTTTAAAATACATTTTGTAAAATGGGATCTGTGTTTTCACCATCCTCACAGGTGCAAACACATGTCTAGTCCTGAAGAATCTGATCTCATACAGCAAATTAACACCCAGATCAAAGACAGGCAAAACGTTTTCTTTGACATGGAAGCCTATTTACCAAAGAGAAATGGGTATGTATTTATTAAATAATCTTCCTAATATAAAGCTGTTACGAGTATTTAGATCAATGTGTCTTTTCTAAAAGGATTTAACAGATATATCTGCAAAGAATGAGAGGAAAGTATAAGGTAAATGAAACGGTAATATGGTAGGTAGCACAATAGACTATTTGATGTTTAATCACATCCCTGCTTGCAGGAGGATTGAAATGGAGAGGGAAAGATGGATCAGAAGTAAATTTCACTTTTGAAAGAAACTATATGGGCTCTAAGGCTTGGCTAACATGGAATTTTATTATTCAGAATATTCATGTAAACACTCCCATATTACAGTATAATCGTATTGGCTTTTGCTCTTTGGTACCAAGAGAGCTCTCATCTGTGGTACTCTGTCTTAACAGTACTGGGATGCCATTCATGGGCTGCTTCTTGCAGATGTAGCTATCTTGCTGTGAAAATATTAATCCAGTTTCCACGCCCCTGATTCTTTTGACTATTGATTCGTAATTTCTCCTGATCCCTAACATTACAGAGAGTAAAGAGGCCTCCCGCCAGAAACTTTTTATCTGTCTTACTCATTAAAATGTTGATTTTTAAAAAATGAACCAATCACCAACTAATATTGAGGATCAATTTGAAGAGAGCACTGATATGTATTCCTAGGGCACCATCTGCATTTTAAACGAATTTCTGTAGTTTTATCTCTTGCTTGCTATAATTAAAAATTTAGACCAAAATATATAGTATTGCTTACTGGAATTGGATCATCTCTCTAAATCTAGCCTGCAGGGCAGTGGTTCTTTTGTATTAAATTAAAATGGACTGATCTGTCTTTTGGCTGTTTTGTCTTTCAGGTTGTACTTAAATCTGGTGCTGGGAAATGTGAATGTAACTCTTCTAAGTAATCAGGCAAAGTAAGTGGGTTTTTTTGGTTCTGGTTTTTTTTACAGTTCTTCCCAGTTAGTAGAAGACAGATGTTGAAGTATGGCATAGATGATTTTTTTCCATCGCTTGAGCAGGGTATTGGCCCTGCAAGATCAATCAATAGAGCTATATACTATTCAAAATACTGTGCCATATTTATCCATGGTGTAATTCCACTGAATTCAATCTGACCACTTGTTTTTAAACAACTAGTCTAATATTTGGGGGCTACACACATGGACTTAATAGTGGAGAAGAGCATAAATTGTGACTTTTTTTTTTGTAACTGTATAAATAGCAGTGTGATTCCAGCTATATTGGCTCTCAATGGCTTCCAGAAAAAAATTGATCCATTTATAAATAGAAAAGGAGAAAATATAGTTATATTTAACTGCCAGTCCTGAAACTAGCCCTTCAAATTTTAATTAAGCTGGGTTCTCTTTGGCTTGTACCTAATCATCAGTAATAAAAAAATCTGCAGACGAGACTGTGACCGCCAGTTAAACATCTGTAACACCATTGTCTTCAAGGTATTCGCTGTGTGAATCCCTATTGTGCGACTATGTTAAGGACCGGTGTTACTGAGGACAGAGTATAACTCTAGAATTGGAAGTATAATTATAGTTTTGAGTAGAAATGTGATATGTTGGCAGTTGGGGTGCCTAAGCTCTGGTTCTGTCTTCACCACAACCGGTTTAATCTAAGTATAAAATTAATAGTCTAATAATGATTCACGGTGTATCTCAGGGATGCTGTCAGCAGCCTGCAAAGACTGAACAGACTCCCTGAAGGGTCCGTTCTAGCTCCAGCACTTTTCAACCTACATACCAGTGACATTCCACCAACATCCTCCTACAAGTTCATGTACGTGGACATTGCACTGGCTACCCAGGCTTCCTCATTTGAAGCCTCAGAAAAGGTTCTAGAACAGGACTTTAAAAGCCTTAGAAATCTGTTTCCAGGTGGTTAAAGCCAAATGCCTCAAACAATGGTCTCAGCTTTCCATTTGAATAATAGGCAGGTCAAGAAGACATTAAATATAAATTTCTGTGGGTCACTGTTGATGCACAATCATAATCCTGGATAACCCTGGACTGCACATTCCGCTTCCGTCGCCACCTTGAACAAACCAAAAGGAAAATGAAGGAAAATGAAGGCCAGGGTCAACTTCATACAGAAACTTGCAAGAACATCTTGGGGAAGCAACACCCCAGCTGTGCAAGTGCTGGGCTTCTCCTCCCCACGGCACATAGATATAGCTATAAACCATATCTGCATCTGACATGGAAGATATGCATACTTACTCCATAGAAGGAAAGTGAGGGAATCGCCAGACTACGACTGTGGCGTGGTGTAAACTGTTGGCAACATCACATCAGATGATTGCTTATCCTGGAGGAGTCACAGCCATTCAGGTGGCAACCCTATCTGCTCTGAACTGGATAAGAGACCTTAAGATCCAGCTGTAGTCACATGGTTGCTTTCACTGTTCCACTATTGCCATACAGAAGGAAGAAGTCTAATAATATTTACTTATCTCGCAGGGTGTTTGAGATTGAATTAATTCATGTTAACAAAGAGCTTTATTAAAGTGAAGCCTCTCTCAGTGGTGCCATATAAGTACAAAGGTCTTACTTCTATTATACCATGCTTGCATTTTCTCAGTGGGGGGTGGAAATGGAACAGTGAGGGCTACTTTGTGGTTTTGGGTGGTGGTTGTTTTTTTGTTTTGTTTTTGGGGTGGGGGGACAGATGAGGAAGGAATGTTCTTCAGGATTACTTTAAAGCTTGTTTTTGTATGTGTGCCCCCCTGCCCCCATGACAGTTGATAAGAAAAGCACCCAAGAAAAAACTCTCTGAATATTAAAGACGTTTTTTGTCTTTGGACAGATAGGGTGTTAAGTGTACAACATGTATGTAGAATGGGAACTCTACTTGTACAATGTAAACCAGTTTTAAAACCACAAATATGTAGATGTTTTACTTGTTTTTAATGGCAGAAATATTAATGCTTTTACTTTATTTTGTCATCCCAGGTTTGCCTACAAAGATGAATATGAAAAGTTCAAACTTTATTTGACAATAATCTTGTTACTTGGTGCTGTAGCATGCAGGTTTATTCTTCATTACAGGTAAGGCAATACTTTTATTTCTGATTAAACATTTTAAATAAAAATATAGTGTTGAATGTTTAGTTAGAATCCACTATGTTCTCTGCATCTCAGTATTGGAAGTTGTTATAACTCTATTGTGATTAGTGCAGAATTCAGAGCTAAGAGGTGCTGTCAAGACAAATCATAGTGCTGATCCTTAAAACACTTACACTTATGAGTAGTCTAATTTCTTCAATGGAGCTATTTATGTACATAAGTTATTCACGTGGAAATATTTGGAGGATCAGGCACCATATCTCTTAAAACCAATTTCCTTTCCTTTGCACCATAAATTATTACAGCTGAAAGAATTTTTAAATTTGCTATTTAATAGGGCTGTCAAGCGATTAAAAAAAATTAATCATGATTAATCGCACTGTTAAACAATAATAGAATACTATTTATTTAAATATTTTTGGACGTTTTCTACATTTTTCAAATATATTGATTTCAATTACAACACAGAATACAAAGTGTACGGTGCTCACTTTATATTTATTTTTTATTACAAGTGTTTGCACTCTAACAAGACAAAAGAAATAGTATTTTTCAATTCACCTAATACAAATACTGTAATGCAATCTCTTTATCATGAAAGTTGAACTTACAAATATAGAATTATGTACAAAAATACTGCGTACAAAAATATTGTGTACAAAAATAAAACAATGTAAAATTTTAGAGCTTGCAAGTCCACTCAGTTCTACTTCTTGTTCAGCCACTCACTCAGACAAACAAGTTTGTTTACATTTGCACGAGATAATGCTGCCCGCTTCTTGTTTATGATGTCACCTGAAAGTGAGAACAGGCGTTCTGATGGTACTGTTGTAGTTGGTGTTGCAAGATATTTACATGCCAGATGTGCATGCTTCCCCCACCATTCAGGGGACATGCGTTCATGTTGATGACTGGTTCTGCTCAAAAAACATCCAAAGCAGTGCGGACCGACACATGTTCATTTTCATTATCTGAGTCAGATGCTAACAGCAGAAGGTTGATTTTTTCTTTTTTGGTGGTTTGGGTTCTGTAGTTTCTGCATTGGAGTGTTGCTCTTTTAAGACTTATGAAAACATGCTCCCTACCTCGTCCCTCTGAGATTTCGGAAGGCACTTTAGATTCTTAAATTGTGGGTCGAGTGCTGTAGCTATCTTTACAAATCTCACATTGGTACCTTCTTTGCATTTTGTCAAATCTGCAGTGAAAGGTGCTGGGTCATCGTCTGAGAATGCTATAACATGAAGTATATGGCAGAATGCGGGTAAAACAGAGCAGGGGACATACAATTCTCCCCCAAGGAGTTCAGTCACAAATTTAATTAACGCATTACTTTTTTAATGAGCATCAGCGTGGAAGCATGTCCTTTGGAATGGTGGCCAAAGTATGAAGGGGCATACGAATGTTTAGCATATCTGGCACGTAAATACCTTGCAATGCTGGCTACAAAAGTGCCATGCAAATGCTTGCTCTCACATTCTGGTGAAGAGAGCAGCATTATCTCCTGTAAATGTAAACAAACTTGTTTGTCTGAGTATCCGAGGGGTAGCCGTGTTAGTCTGTATCCACAAAAACAACGAGGAGGCCGGTGGCACCTTAAAGACTAAAAGATTTATTTGGGCATAAGCTTTTGTGGGTAAAAAGCCCACTTCTTCAGATGCATCAAATAATGCCCAAATAAATCTGTTAGCCTTTAAGGTGCCACCTGACTCCTTGTTTTTGTTTGTCTGAGCAATTGGCTGAACAAGAAGTAGGACTGAATGCACTTGTAGCCTCTGAAGTTTTACATTGTTTTGTTTTTGAGTGCAGTTACGTAAGTTGCACTTTCAGGTCAAAGAGATTACACTACAATACTTGTATGAGGTGAATTGAAAAACACAATTTCTTCTGTTTATCATTTTTACAGTGCAAATATTTGTAATAAAAATATATACTTTGATTTAAATTACAACACAAATACAAGATGTATATGAAAATGTAGAAAAACATCCAAAATATTTAATACATTTCAATTGGTAGTCTCTTGTTTAACCGTGTGATTAAAACTGCGATTAATCGCGATTAATTATTTTTAGTTAATCGCGTGAGTTAACTGCAATTAATCAACAGCCCTACTATTTAATCATTTGTTTTTGTATTTAGCTCAGCTTGGACAATGGTAGACTCATTGATTTTTTTTTTTTTTCTTGCTGGTGGTCATGTTCTATGACAGCATTGTAATTTTGGGACTGCAAACATTGCAGGGGAATGTGCAAATCAAAGCAAACGTCCTTTCTAAATGTAAATATAAAAAAATGTCTCTGGCAACTTCTTGTATTTAATAGTTAACGGGAGGGCCAGGTTCAAGTTTTGCTAAGTTCCCTTTTAAATCTGCCATGAATGCAACATCATTTGTTAAGGATGTAATTCCCTGGAATGCACAAATGCTCAGGGTCGTCTAGACTTTAAACTTTAGGATGTCAAAATAGAGGAGTTTTTCAGGTCTTGAAAACAGAGTACAGTGCTCTACTGTGTTATTAGTTGATTGGATTTATATAGATCTAATAGTATCTGCTTATTGAATTAGCCTGAAAATGCCTGTGTAAATTGGATCATCTGCTTCTTCTATGGAGAACTGCCTCCTTCAAATGGAATCAATGTCATCTCTACACACTTGCTCATCAGCCTGGGATCCCAAGTCTTTTATCACATAGCACTTTCCCAGTCTCCCAGAGTAACGGAGTCTGTTTCTCTCCCCCGCCCGCTGCCCAGATTTGCATAGTTGTTGAAGAAAAGGCACAACGTAGGGGTTGTGTAGGGGTTTTTCAGCAGGACTAGTCATGTGTAACATTAAGCATGTACCTAAGGATTTGCAGGATCAGGGCCTTAAGGTCTGTGGTTTCACACAAACTATTTTTCACTTGCACTGTTCTTGGGGTAGGGAGGAGAATAATCTTGAAATGGATATTTATCATAATAAGGCTTTTTTGTTTGTTTTACTCTTTTTAATAGGGTGACAGATGAAGTGTTTAACTTCCTGTTGGTGTGGTATTACTGCACATTGACAATAAGGGAAAGCATTCTCATCAGCAATGGATCAAGGTACCATATGATATTCCAAAGTAATTCAAAGCACAGGATTCACTTAAAACAAAAAGGCGAAGATGGTTTGTTTGTTGGAGTCCCAGTGAGGTTAGGATAAAAATCCTGCTGAACAGTCCTTTTTATTTGACCCTTTTAAACATCCATTTCCAAACACACACGTTCACTTGGGGATGAGAAAAAAAGGCAAGTTATGAAGAAACTGCCTTGATCCCTTACACCAGAGTGCTGAATGTGCTTTTATTAATAAGCTAGTTTTTAGTGAGTTAGTAATAAGCAAGTCTGTCTTTATAGAAACTGAACTGGCAGGATTTCCTGTGAATGCAAAAGATTGACAGTCTAAATATGGTTTAATTTTCTACTTTCCTTTGACTACCTTCCCACACCTTTAACTCAGTCTAAGGCAGGGGTGGGCAAACTATGGCCCAGGGGCCACATCCGACCCTCCAGACATTTTAATCAGGCCCTCGAGCTCCCGCCAGGGAGCGTGGTCCAGGGCTTGCCTTGCTCTGGCGCTTCAGCTGGGGAGTGGGGTTGGGGGCTTGCCCCGCTCTGTGCGGCTCCCAGAGGCAGTGTCATGTCCCCGCTCCGGCTCCTATGTCTAGGGGCAACCAAGGGGCTCTGCACGTTGCCCCCCGCTCCAAGTGCCATCCCTGCAGCACCCATTGGCCGGGAACTGCGACCAATGGGAGCGGCAGGGGCGGCGCCTGCGGACAGGGCAGCGCGCAGAGCCACCTGGCCGCGCCTCTGCGTAGGAGCCAGAGTGGGGACATGCTGCGGCTTCTGGGAGCTGCTTGAGGTAAGCTGCCTGGAGCCTGCACCCCTGACCCCCTCTTGCACCCCGACCCCCTGCCCCAACCCTGATCCCCCTCCCACCCTCCGAACCCCTTGATCCCAGCCCAGAGCACCCTACTGCACCTCTAACCCCTCATCCCCAACCTCACCCCAGAGCCCCCACCCCCAGCGGGAGCCCCCATCTCCCCCCCCCCCCCCCCGCACTCCACCCCCCCAATTTCATGAGCATTCATGGCCCGCCATACATTTCCATACCTAGATGTGGCCCTTGGGCCAAAAAGTTTGCCCATCCCTGGTCTAAGGTGACACTACTGTAAGCATAAGACATAGCTGAAGATCATCTGCATCACTGATTCCATCTCCCTGCAGATGTTAAATGCCTCCCCCATAATTTAATAATGTATACATTCTCTGAGACGACACTTGATCTTAGCCAAAAGCTACACTTGATCTTAGTGAAAAGCCTACAGAGAAGACTATATTTTTGTAACTTTCCAGAATCTTTGTAATTTTGGAACTACATTAATATCTCTCACCCTTCTTTTAAAATCACAGAAGAAACTCTGATTCCATACTAAAAAGAATGCAGAGAAGCCTAACTGTGATCTGGATTTTGTAATGTGACTTACCTGGTTGCAGAAATAGATAATGAACACATTTCCACTTCTTGATTGGTAGCAAAACATATATCTAAACTACAATGGTGGAGGAGGAGTGGGGGAGAATTGGATGTTAAAGTGGATATAATTTAAGAGGTAAAAATAGTACACACCTGTTAGAAATTAAAAATAAACAAAAGCCCCCAAACACTATTTCTTTAAATACCCTCATAGTCTAAATTGTTTATCTAATGTTTCCTCTTTAAAAATGTATGCTTTCAATATAAATATCCTAAATTATTTGCAGATTCATTTATAGCTGAAGTTGCTCTTTGGAAGTTTCCAGTATTGCCAATTCAAGTTACATCATCAACATGAAAACCGCTAGTGTTCCCCAAAATATATACTTAGTCACACCTAACTATAGTGCTAGATGCTACTAATAAGTGGAACATTACTATAACTGAAAAAACACACATCAAAATTTTTCTGTTTTTCAATTTAGTTATTTAATGCATTTGACAGCACTTTGTGAGTAGCCAGTTTCACTGTTCCCCTTATAGTTAGTCAGTCTCTCTTGCTGAAGAGACTTTTATAAACATTAATGGAGGAGCAGAAAAATCTCTTGAATCTTATTTCAAAGGAATTTAAAAAAGATAATTTCATAGTATTTAGAGCAGCAAATTAAAAAAACAAAACAGAATCTGCCCTCCTCCCCCTCCTAAAAAAACAAAAACAGGTGACAATCAGTCAATTTAAGATAAATCAAATTGACAGCGTCCTTTTCAGTCAAACCATAGTAGGGAATAACCTTGCACTTCTAGGGGACCTGACGTCATGACCCCTCCCCCTCAATGTTCAGATTCCCTCGTCTGAGTGGTGGAAATTGTAGTTGCATCCTCAGAGTCCTACAGCATTCCAAAGAAGCATTACTAATAGTGCCTTTGAACTAGGGATGTCCTTCATTCCCCTTCTTATGGCAGGAAATGTAGCCATTAAAAAACAAACAAAAGCTCCATGAGACATGAAACAACACTCTGCAAGATGACTTTTTGCCTGACTTTGTTGTTTTAAGCCCTGTGTATATTCCGCAAGACATCTGTAATAAACCAGTGCAAATGCTGAGATGTGCTGCATGCACTTTTAGCAGTGGTTATACCTAGTGCCATTTCAGGACCTCTCCCAATGTCCTAGTAGCCAGCCAACTCACATTCCTCAAGTGCCTGGCTAGAAAGGACAATAATTGGGTCGCTGCCTTCTTCTCACACCAGTTTTACACTGGTGTCACTCTAACTTCATTATTTCTTATGTACACTGGTGTAACAGAGACACATTATTGCTTGTGAAGTCAGATCTGATGGCCCCCTGCTGTTTTGCTACTCATCCGTTGTAGATTGGCCCTCACTAGGGAAAGGGAAAACACACACACAATCTTGATAATGAATACACACGCGTGTGCGCACACACACACACACACTACTGCTGTATTAATTAGTTCTCTCTCTAATTTGGCTTGTTTGCCACACTTTGAATAAGCAAAACCACTTTACTTCAACTTCACTTGTGCATCCTTGTCCAATAAACACCACCCTGGGGAACCAAATGGCTTATAAACTCCCTCTTAATTGAACTTAATACATGAGTAAACCAAATAAAATGGTGGTGGTAAAAGATTTGTGTTGACAGCACAGCATACATATAATTAAGCAGTAATGAATGAGGTGCAGAATGTTTACTGGGATTTAATGACCAACTGGGAGGAGTTTATGGCCATTTATCTCAGTCAGTCACTTTTCCAAAGCCTTGTACTAAAGTCATTTCTCCTGTTACATACTAAAAATGGAGAGGCAGGAAATCTCCATACGGAGTGGTGGTTGAGGGGTGTGTGCACAAAACATTTCTGGGGAAACTCATGCCTAATTAGCTAATACAATTGCTTGCTGTCTTCAGAGATGATTCATCCAGATTAATCCGTATTACAGGTGAAGCTACAAAACTGAATATAATCACAGGATTGTAGCAACAATTATTTATAAGTACCAGCATACTGGCCTAAAATTAACAAATGTAGCCACAGTACTGTTTAAAAAAAAAAAAAAAAAAATCTCCTTCTATTTTGCTTCTAGTTTCATTTCAGGAAAGCAGTTGTCTCTAGACTAGTGGTTTTCAAACTGCAGGTCATGACCCAGTACTGGGTCACGGAATGTAAGGCACTGGGTCGCAGTGGCTCTGGTCAGCACGGCTGACCGGGCCGTTTAAAAGTCCAGTCGGCGGTGCTGCCTGGTTAAGGCAGGCTAGTCCCTACCTGTTCTGACACTGCACTGCGCCCCGGAAGTGGCCAGCAGCAGGTCTGGCTCCAAGGTGAGGGGGGCGCCACAAGGCTTTGCACGCTGCCCCTGCCCTGAGCACCTGCTCTGCACTCCCATTGGCTGGTTCCTGGCCAATGGGATCTGGTGGGGGGCGGTGCCTGCGGCGAGAGCCATGTGGAGCCACTTGCGCGCCTCCACCTAGGAGCCGGACCTGCTGCTGGCTGCTTCCAGGGCACAGCGTGGTCCGCAGTGCCAGGACAGGCAGGAAGCCTGCCTCCGCACCCCCACTGTGCCGCTGACCAAGAGCCGCCTGAGGTAAGACTGCGCCCCAACCATGCACCCCAATCGCCTGCCCCAGCCCTGAGACCCCCCCCAAGCCCAGAGCCTCATCCCTGGCCCCACCCCAGAGCCTGCATCCCAATCCAGAGCCCTGACCCCTCCCGCACCCCAGCCCTGAGCCCCCCAAACCCAGACCCCACTCCTGCAGCCCAAACCCATCATCCCTGCAGTCCTCACCCCTGCACCTCAACCCTCTGCCCCAGCCCTAAGCCCCTCCCACACCCCAAGCCTCTCATCCCTAGCTCCATTAGGTCGTGGGCATCAACAATTTTCTTCAACTGGGTCACCAGAAAAAAAATTTGAAAACCTCTGCTCTAGACCATTAATGATATCAAATGGCATGTGGTTTACATTAAGAGGTTTAACCCTTAAATATCAGCTGCACATGGTGGTTGGAGGAATGGGGCATGCTTTCTAATAAAGAATTTCAAAGGTGTCTTTTTTTTTTTTTTTTTGTTGTTTTTTTTTTTTTTTCTTTCGTTTTGTCTTAAATTTCAGGAACATTAAGGTTGGTGTTCCCTGGTTGGATGGGCAATCACTGGAGGTCTCAGATGTGGATTGTGACTTTTACCTGCCTTTAATTGAAGCAGAGATGTTAAATCTTTACCACAGATCTTTGCTCCCAAGACTGTTTGTCTGTTTAATTCCGAGTTTTAAAACAGTCTGAATAAATATTGTTTAACTTCTTTTGAACTAGGTTTCACTTTGATGACATCTCTGATGTCATCCTACCAGTTCCCCAGTTGTCTATAAAGTCTTCTAGGGAAAACAGGGCAGACATGACCTGGATTTCTACTTTTTTTTTTTTTTTTTTTAAATAAAAATAACCCCCAAACCACTTCAGGCCTTTGTTATGCACTGTAAAGAAGCAAACAAGGCACAGCCACAAATCAGCCATAGAAACGTGGACGTCTATGAGCAGATTGAATGGGGGATGCAGGAGAAAGGGTTTGACAGGGAGCAGCAGCGGTGCTGTGCGAAAGCGAAGAAATTGTGGCAGGCATACCAGAAAGCCAGGGAGGCCAATAGTCAACTTGATGCTGAGCCACAGACCTGCCACTCTTACAAAGAACTGCATGCTGTACTTGGAGGAAACCCCACCAGCATCTTGCACGTCTCCAAGGAGCCTGAGTCATTGGCCCCTGGTGCGAACAGTGAGGAAGAGGAGGAGAAGAGGGAGGATGGGGGATGTGCGACCGTGAGCGGGGAGATTGTTGAGCTGTGCTGTGAGCCAGGACCTGTTTGAGACTCCACGATCTAGTCAGTCCTGGCAGTCGAGTACAGGTGAACCTGATACAGGGGAAAGAACCTTGGGTAAGTGTGTAAATGTATTTCCCATTACAGTGATGGTGCCCCCAACTTAGCAGGACATAGCTATCGACTTTCCTTTCTTTTATTTGTACTAAAAGAGCTAGTGGTACAACAGGTAACACCTGCTTTTCATTCCCCTGTGGAGTTAGGCAGGGGACTCCTTATGGAGCAGTTTATGTACCTGGGGTTGTCCCTCGAATTCTCCTGAGAGATCTCAATGAAACTTCCACGGAGGTACTTTGCAATCTTCTCGGAAAGGTTTCTAGGGATGGCAGCCTTATTTCTTCCTCTGAGGAAGGATCCTTTTCCATGCCAGTCAGTGATAACTTTGGCAGGCACCATTTCATAAACAGGTTAGCAGCATACTGGCCCAGACGGCTTTGGAACGCCAGCAGCAACTGTGTTGTCTGTGCCTTTGTTACTCTCAGAAGTGAGAGATCAGCTGAAATCACCATCACCTGTGGAAAGTGGTGACAGTGTTCAGTGGGCCATTCCCACCTCATTTCCCTCAGCCCTGGCCAGCCATACTCACCATGTGAGTGGGGCCATGCACAAGCACTCCGAAGCAGAAGGGTCAATAAGCATGTTTTGTTTAAAACTTTACGAGAGCAAGGGAAGGGAGTTCTGAACTTTAACTTTTGCTTTCTGTTGTACCGTTGTCAGTATAGTCACCTCTGTCTGTTTTATCTGCAGCTGCTTGAGGGCAGAAGGAGAAAAAGACAACCCAGGATGACAATTTCAATGAGATCCTGGAAGCCAGAGCTGCGTCAGACCGTGAACAGAGGCCCTGGAGGATGAATATTGCAGACTCCAGGGAGAAACACCAGGACGTAATGGAGCTTCTCCGACAGCAAACACAGATGCTGCAGACACTAGTGGACCTACAGGGTCTGCAATCCCAGGCTCATCTCCCTTTGCAGTCCATGGAGAACGCCAGTATAGCAACTCCCTACACCCCCTCAACATTCCACGTGGCATCAGGGACGCATCCCTACCCCCTACACACGGGGAGACATCCTGGACACAAACAACTTCAGCTACAGTTGCTGTATGTATAGTTAATATGTACATGAATGTTCCATCCCCTTCTTTATGCTCTGTTCCATAAATTGATTGAGGTTGTAATATATTTGCTTTTAACTTTCACAGATTTTTTTTCTGAAGTGTTGTTACTCAATAAAATTATTATTTGGAAAATAAATCCTGGGAGAATGGCTGGCAGTCCTGAAAGCACCCACTTACTTGTGATTGTTCACTTTGTCATTGATCCTATGAGATATTTCAAACACAGTGTAATAATCATAAATGTACAGCCTGCACCACAAAAGTAATAGGTGCGCATCTATGAATACAACACTGGTAATGCACCAAGTGCCACACAGTTCTTAACAGGTTCCCAAACTTCAGGGCCAGGCAGAGCACAGTACACCACAACACATTATTGTGACTCTTGTTAAGTGCTGTGTAGCTCCGTGTTGAGCTTTTTTGATAGCCTTGTATCTGGCTGTTCAAACTCAGCAGACAGCCATTCCACCTGTGCCCTCCACCCTGGCAGCAACTTTTCTCCCTTTGCATCACAGACATTCTGCAGGACACAGTGGGCAGTTGTAACCATTGATATTTTTCTCACTGACATCCAATCTTGTGAGTAAACACCAGCATCACTTCAGTCTACCAAAAGCACATTCGGCTGTCATTTTGCGCCTGCTTGAGCCGGTAGTTGAATCTTTCCTCGGTGTTGTTGAGGTGTATGGTGTACGGCTTCATGAGCTAGGGGAGTAAGTGGTAGGCTGGGACCCCCAGGATAACTATTGGCATTTCAGCATCACCAAAGGTGATCCGCCAGTGGGGAAAGTCCCTGCCTGTAGCTTTCTGAACAGTCCTGTGTTCTTAAAAGTGCAAACATCATGTGCCTTTCCTGACCAGCCAACACTGATGTCAGTGAAGTGTCCCCAGTGATCCACGAGAGCTTGCATAACCACAGAAAAAGAGCTTTCTGTTGATTACTCTGTGGCAAAGGAGTGTGGTGCCAGAATAGGGATATGCATGCTGTCCATTGCTCCACCACAGTTCGGGAACCTCATTGCTGAAAATCCATCTATTTTTGTCCTGCACGTTGCCAAGAGAAGACTATTAATGGCCCTTCACACTTGCATGACAGTGATTTCCCCTCCCCCCCCCCCAGTGGATTTTCCAGCTCCAAAATGATTTCTCACAGCAGCAATCCAGCGTTGCAAGTTTCTATAGTGCGATCGCCACTCGGTTCTCCATTGTCAGTGCAATTCTCATTGTGGTGTCCCTGCACTGGAGGGCTGGGTTGAACTCAGCACACAGATCCAGGAATGTGGTCTTGTGCATCCGAAAGTTTTGAAGCCACTGCTCATCATCCCAAATCTTCATTATGATGTGATTCCACCAGTCAGTGCTCATTTGTTGGGCCCAGAAGCGGTGCTCCACCATTTGCACCTGTTCTGTGAATGCCACCAACAATCTTGAATTGGTTCTTACTGTGTCCCACAGCAATCTGACGTCCAGGATGTTGTCCTGTTCCCCGCGGTGGTACTTGTCGTTCTGCAAATACTGGAGGATTGTGCGTCTTGTGCTTGCAGTGCTCATGACGAGTGCAGAGCTGTGCAGGCTCCATGCTTCTGTCACACGTGTTGGACAGCAACAAGTCCTGTGTGTGTTCGTGGTACTTTCAAAAGTAGTACAAATTACGTGATAGCGATGATGTGGGGTGGAGAAAGTTGGATGCTGGGAAGTTGACCTCTTCCTCCTAGTCTCCTGTGTAACTTGTTTCTGCCCCACCATGCATTGCCAAAACTTCCCAAAAGACAGTGCGGTGGATGGTGGTGAGTTGCATGCTGGGATACTTACTCATGGTGCACTGTGGTGTGCATTGACACAAGCACTCCTGGTGAGTACTTGCAGCGCCAGTGCAAGGCGCCAAGTATGCACACGCACAAGCGATGTACCTAACTGCGGCGGCTTTAGACCACCGTAACTTTTGTCAGCGAAGTATAGTGTAGCCATGCCCTCTCACTCACTCACCTGATGAGTTCCTGTAGTGTGTTGCTGATGCAACTTGTGAAATATCAGTTAGAAAAATAAGGTGTGTGGGGGTGCGCGGGTAGGTTCTGCCTCTGAGCATCACATCCCTTTCCTGTGTGGGTTCTCTCTCTGAACATCACTGTTTCCTGCTGCACACAGTCACTTGTATCGCATCCTCTAAAATAAAGTAGCTTGCAGGCCTAAGGCTTGCATGGATGTTGCTGGTTAGGCAGGTGGTGCCCAGAAGAGGGCATTCTCCCTCTAGGCTGATGGGGTGTGTGTGTGTGTGTGTGTGAGAGGTAGGTAACGGTGCTTACTCAGACTTCAACTTACTCTCTGCTATTATTACATAATTAAAATGTGGGGTGGGGTTCAGTGACCTCTGAGAGCATTACTGACAAAATATATCCATTATGTATGCTGAGGAAAATGGAGAGGCCAACGGTCTGAACCCAGAATTGAGAGCCATTGGAATGTTACTCCTGATGGAATCTGGTTGGGGAGGATTAAGTCTGCTGCTCACTGGTGTGTTTTTTGTGACTGAGAGTGAATGGGAACTGTGGGCTTTCTTGGTATTTCTTGCAATTTCGTTGACCGTTACAGTTGTGAACTGTAGAGATAAAACAATGGCTGCTTTTGCCTCCCAGTAACATTGAATAGACTATGTAATTAATCTCACAGTGGTAGATTGTTTTGACTCAAGACTGTGTGATGTTCCTGGTTTTCAAACCTCACTTATTTTATACTGATTGATTTTTATCCTAGCTCAAGAAATGATTAGTACTGACCTGGCCAAACTATTTTAGCACATTCTGCTCAGACTGATAACTTTCTCCAGTTTATGCCAGTCACGTTCCATCTCAATATTGAAAGACTGGCTTTATATTTAAGGTGCATATTTGTGACTTTCCTCCCCACTGTCCTCCTTAATTACCTGTTTTGGTTTTTCTTTTTTCTTTTTAAGGATTAAGGGCTGGTGGGTGTCTCATCATTATGTCTCCACATTTCTATCTGGAGTAATGTTAACATGGTAAGTTTTCTCTTTACTCTGCTGACAGATTTTCATTGAGGGTTTACATTAACGGTTTTAAACCCTCCTCAGACGCGTCTAAAGTGACCTGGTATAAATGTGTCTTTCCAAGCACTTGCTGTAGCTTTGTGCCTTATATGTTTTCTCTGGTGTGACATTTGGAATGATAAATATAGAACTACTGGAGAGTTCAGTTACAGCTCTATTAAAACAACAGCTCAGTAGCTGTAATGGGGGCAGCAAAATGTCTGAATCTCCCTGATTTGCTGCTCTATATAAAGAGCTAAGAAATTTATATTAAAGAACAAGCAGATAAATCTCTCTATATAGACAATAAATGACATGAATTATATTCAATAAATCTTTGGGTTTTTTACTTTCATTTTGCTGAACCCAGATTATAAAAGTAAACATTCAAACTCGTGGTTTTGTTTTGGGTTTAATTTTTATCTCCTGGTTAGGGTGATCATGCAAACAATTTGAATGTTGTTTTGTGTAATTTAACAAAACCTTGATTAAAATAGTCTCACTTATAATCTTTTTTTATATATGTTTAATATAAAAATCCTTTTATTTCAGTCACTATTTAACTTCTTTATTAAAACCACAGGAACAAAGGTTTTATTAAAACAATAAAAAAAATTACTTCTCCCCTCAGGTGCACACACCTATTTTGATTGTTTTTTTGCAAATATTGCTTAATGATTTGATCATTGGCTATAGAATACTGCCATTTAATTAGCAAGAAAAGGCAACATTCCCAGTTAGAGAAAAAAACCCAGGGAAACCCAATGAGATAAGTTGCCTACAACCCAGAGTTGTGATGTTTAGACATTTACTGACATCGTAAGCTTTGACATATGCTTTGCCACAAGCTGAGATCTGCAGCCTAGTGGGCCGCACTGCATAACAAGAATAACTGCTTATGTCATTCACTGATGGGCTCAGACTTGACTGAAATAGGGAGAAGGAACTTTATATTAGTTTTTGTATTTCTTATTAAACCAAAAGTGTGAATCTTTTTTCTTTTTTACCCCCCTCTCTATCAGGCCAGATGGACTCATGTATCAAATGTTTCGCAATCAATTTTTAGCGTTTTCAATTTTTCAGAGTAAGTATATCTTACCTTGTTAATTCTTGAATAAAATATGGATTCTCTACCCTTCTGCCTCTTAAATACTAAGGTTCCCTGCGGGGTGGAGGGGGAGAGAGAGAGAGAGCTCAGTGGTTTGAGCATTGGCCTGCTAAACCCAGGGTTGTGAATTCAATCCTTGAGGGGGCCACCTAGGGATGGAGCAAAATGAGTACTTGGTCCTGCTAGTGAAGGTAGGGGGCTGGACTCGATGACCTTTCAGGGTCCCTTCCAGCTCTGAGATAGGTATATCATTAGTATTAAACTAAGGGCTTGTCTACAGTTGACTGTTATAGTGCTTCACTATAGACACTACCTGTGCCACCGAGAGGCAGTAGCTATGTTGATAGCACTAGGTCAGTTGAAGAATTCTATTTAAACTGGGGGGGGGGGGGGGGTTAGACCAGTTTAACTACATCATTCTGGGATATGGATTTTTCACACCTCTGAGCCATGTAGGTGGGTCGACCTAACTTTTTAGTGTGGACCAGGCCTAAGTTCGCAGATAATAATGAATTAACTCTTCTTACTGTTCGTGTTAGAGTAGCCACTGCAACATGATTTTGTTTTCTCCCGTCCAGTTTCAACTAAAATGAATAATTCCTTTGTTTTCCAGGCTGTGTACAGTTCCTACAATATTATTATCAAAGTGGCTGCCTTTACAGACTCCGTGCATTAGGGAAAAGAAACCACTTGGATCTTACAGTAGGTGGGTGTTTTTGTAACCCCTAATTTAGTTTTACAAAAACCATTTAATTTACATTCAGCAGCTAATTGACTTAAAGTTTTAAATGTGATTTCTCAGCCTGTTTTCACTTCCACAGAGTTTATCTCAAAGCCTTCCCAGCATCATTCCACTATCCTGCCCTGATCATTTTGAGTATGTAGGTGTTAGCAACAGGAGACTGAAACTAAATGATTTATGACCCTTTTGTTATGTTGGACAAAAAGGATCGTATTAAACTGATATTTTGAAGGCTTTGTAATCTTAAATGTAAAAATTCTATCTTTATTATTTGTCATCTTATATATAGCCATAGGCATCCAGGGTGGTTTACATAAAATGTAGAGCTCCTTGTCCTGAACATCTTATCTGAAGAAGACATAGAAAGTAATAACAGATGATGGTGCAGGAGAGTGGTGGGCCTGTAGGTACTAATTTATTTGTCTCTCCTAATGTTCTGGTTTTACAGAAGGATTTCAGTCTTGGATGTGGCGAGGGCTGACCTTTCTTCTTCCCTTCCTGTTCTTTGGGCATGTAAGTTGGAGAACCTGGCTCCTACATATTTCACTGATTTTGTTTTATTTGAACACAAAGACCAGGGATTTTCAGAGTTGTTAGTGCTGTAATTGTAGCAAAACACAAAGTTGCCTCTTGGATCACATAGTGCATATGGTAACTGTGTTCCAGAGCTGGGAATTGAGTATCCCTTTTAGAAAGAAGTTATGAAATGGTTGAAAGTAGGAAGACTAGTTTAACACAGATTATTCCAGAAACCTGTAGTCACTAGATTTTGCTCTCTTCTAATGAAAATACATCTGGTTGGTTTTTTTTTCCGTATGAGATCATGAAGAAGCCCTTTAACCTTTGTAATTAGAGGAGTTTGCCATTGGAGTTCTTCTGTTTGGTTACCTGGCAACCCCCTCTTTTAGTGATTGCATATGTCCCTTACGCTATGTAGGTGTATGCATGTCTCATGCATCAGTGCCAGAGAGTTTTTTCCCTAGTGGTAACCTTAGAGGCAGCCCCATATGTCCACTGGCTTCCTCCTGCCCTGAGCCCAGGGTATAAATCGTGACCCACCCCACCCATCCTTTTGTTCTTCTTACCCTCTGTGGCTAGTAGTCAGAGCACTCCTGGGCTTTCCAGCCTCATTCCCCTGTGAACTGTTACTTATAGTTAGCTTTTTTCATTTAGCGGTACTCACTGTTTTTATTCTTTCGCCTCCTTTTTTTTTTTCTTTTTTTTTTTTTTCCCCTTTTTCTTTTTAACTTATTTAATTTTCTTTGGCTACAGCAGGATTCTGGGCCTTGCCCGGTACTGGGGGAACTTATGTCAAGGTCTCCAGGTTTTAAGCCCTGCTTCCGCTGCCATGAACCAATGCCTATTAGTGACCTGAGGACTTTCTATTTAAAATGCTTGGGTGAGGGTCACATTAGAGATGGGTGTCTGATCTGCTGTGGCTTCCAATCCAGAACAAGAAGCAGAGAGAAGAGAGCCTTAGCTAACTTCTCATGGCCCTTTGCCTGGCGTCAGGGAACCCCCTCGTTTGGCACAAGGGAGTTCATTGACCACCTCTTGTAGGAGTGCTTCCGTGGTCTCTCCAGCAGACAGACTATAGGAGATCCCCTTCACCAGGGCCATCATTTTCAAGGCGCAAGACCACAGACCATTCCCGTCCTTTGAAGCATAAGAACACACTGACTTCTTTGAAGTCCTGGGTACGGGCCGCCTCTGCAATGGAAGGCCACTCTGTACCAAAGATATAGTGCGTGCCCTTCAGCTTGCCATTTCCTGTACTAGTTCGCAGTCCCTCTCATAGGGCTGAGCTGTTGACTCCTATATGCACCCCTGGACCGTTGAGATGGGCCATCTCAAGAGTGATGGCTGTAGATGCGTCGTCCCTGCTTATGGTGGGGCAGCTGTCCGTTTCGGTGCCACTCTGCCATTGCCACTGATTCAGGTCAAAGATCCTCTTCTGGCACCATCACAGGTGCGATGGCCATCAGCACCAACGTCAGGGTCTGTTACGGCCCCATCGGTCTCAGGCCAGGTACCGCATTCATTGGCCTCCTCAGTAGGCCTAGGGTATGGCACCTCCACCTCATCACATGGTACCACTGTCTAGGAAGCCTTCAATGCTGCCACTGGTACTGCAGTCTTGACGTAGATCCTGGGCTCCGAGGACTCCTCCTGGTACCACACCACCTAGGATTTGGGAGTATTTTTACTCATAGTCAAAGTCAGGTTTCCCACTTCAGAGAGTCCAGGGCCGCCTCCTACTCTCACAGAAATTGCTCTGTCAAGGGCAGATCAAGGGATAGGGAACCCTGGCCTAGGCATAACTGGCTTCTGATACTGTGTCAGCCACCTCATTGGCCATATTGGAGGCCTTGGGGAATACCACCAGCATCGAGATCAACATCTCTGCTTCTTCATAGAAGCAGATCGTCAAGAAAGGCGGCTTCCCACCTGATACCAAGGAACCACTAATGGTTGGTGCAGAACAGCATCCAGACACAGAATGGCTGGACTTCCCCAATCAGCCTTGTGCCAGCAGTCTGCCTCAGCAGTGCAAGATCAGCCCCGGGAGGCTTCTGCCTTGCCTCCTCTGAATATGTCATCCTCATCGCCGGATGACGCGCTCCTACCAGAAGCTTCCTTCCCGGTTCTGGATGACTATAAAGTTACTAAAAAGGATGGATGCATCTCTTGGCATTCAAATGGAGCTGGTGGAGGAGAATCCTCACAAGCTGATAGATGTTTTGCACCCAGCTAATTCAGCCTTTCCTGTACATGAGATGATAATGCAGCCCATCAAGTCACTGTGGCAAACCCCCTCATCTGTTCAACCAATGGCTAAGTGCATAGAGCACAAATACCAGGTTCCATCCCAGGGGCTGGAGAAGGTTTATTCACACCCCACACCATGCTCACTGGGAGTGGCCATGGTAAATGAAAGGCACTGTCAAGGTCAAGCTAAGGCTATGTCCTCTGTTTGCCCCCCCCTTCCCCTCCCCCTAAAAAAGGATGCAAATCAGTTAACCCCTTTTAGGGGGAGAGGTTTATTCAAGGTGTGTGTGGGGGGGGGCGGGGGGAGTGGAGGTTACATCTTCATATTGCTGACCACCAGGCCCTCTTGGCCTGGTATAACTATTCAGATGGGAAGGCAGTGTCTCCGTTCATGAACAAATTGCCTGAAAACTGTAAGGAACAGTTTGTCCCTCTTGGTGGCAGGTCACCTGGTTTCTCCATCAGCTGTGCAGTTTTCCAGGCTCCCTGAATCCACTTTTATTACTTTGAGGACAAATTTCCCCCCTCCCCCACTCTGGCTTCATTTTTATTTGGTGGTTGGGGGCATTGGGGGTATTTTATTTACTTCCACAATGGTTGTGGGTCATAGATCAAATATCCCCTTGCCTCTATGCCAGCTGCTAGCAAGTTTAAAAAACAACCCAAAAACCTGTGCAATGTACATCACAATGTAATAATTCAAGCACCTCATTTTCAAAGCTCTGCCTGACTCTACCACCTAGATTTCTGCCTTCATTCTCCCCTCCATCCCCCAACTGTTTATGCTCCTAAATGCACTTTTTGTACCCTCCCACTCATAGCTACATCCCCTTTTATGCTGCCCCTCATGCTTAAAGTTCCCTCCCTTTCTTTGGATACCATCTGATCACTCTGCTTTGCTGAAATTCCACCTTCTAAAGATATTTTCCATGGAGCATTTCAGCCATAATTCACCAACATCAGAAGTGTGTAATTAAAAACAATAAATACAAACTACACTCCACTTTGTGATTGGACCTTCATGTAGCTCTCCAGTATATTACAGATTTGTCCTGTACTGTACGTGTCCAATTGAAGCACCGATCCTCCATCCTTTACTTGAGTAACCTCTGAAATCTCATAACGAATGCAGACTCAGGCCCTTAGACTCTAAGCTCTCTGGGACAGGACCATGTCTTAGTGTGTACCGTGTGGTACAAAAGATGTGCCATGGATACATACGTAATGACATGGTGATACTGGGTGCAGTATAAAATTTTAAACAAGAAAAGGGACTTAAAATGTAGAAGTATTCCTCCCTTCTTGTAGATAAAACTACAATTGGAAAATCTACCTGGGAGAAATTGATTATTCTTGATTTGTTTTAAAAGCAGGGAGGCTCAATGTTGCTCTGCTGCTGTGGTTCATTCAAGACTAATTCCTACAACAATCTCAAACTCTTTAAAACATTTTAATTCTTTTGATACCTTAAATCTTACTGTTTTTGTTTTGTAGTTTTGTTTTTTTTTTTTTTTTTTAAATCCGCCCTCTCCCCCACAGGGAATGCACCTGTAAACGAACATCATACAATAGAATGCACTTGTGCATGAAAAGCCTGAGTCACGTTAATGTGCTGACTTGTTGAAGAACCAGACTCCAATATAAATATCTATGCAATGTTTTACATAATCCTTCATGGTCAGCAACAAGTATCTTACCCATACTTCATGCATAGCTGTGGCTTCCAAATTCAGTAGATTTTTGCCAAAGGACACACCAGCATGTCAAGTAGCTTCCCTTGCTGTGCTAATTGCTAATTTACAGCAGGCTAAACTGTTTAACAATCATTTTTATTTTTATTATATTTTAATGAAGTGGTCTCTCTTTTCTCTTAGTTTTGGCAGCTCTATAATGCAATCACACTTTTTGAACTGTCTAGGCATACGGAATGCAAAGAATGGCAGGTAGGTAACTCTGTTTACAATAAACAAGAACTCTGATGTTATCATATTGATCCAAATGCCTTAGTCTGAAAATTGACATAGAATTTGTCAGAATAACTTCCTTTGTATCAGTTGAATACAATACCAAACAGAAGGTAGCTATAAAGAATATGGCAGTATCCATTTTATTACTATATCTTTAAGGATGCTGACACTTTTCTACTTAGTGTTCCTCATTGCCAACGACATGTACATGTTTTCTCGAATTCAGTTGCTTGTATTGATCTTGATATAGAATGATGTGAATTGCTTGGTAAGATGAGCTCAAGCAAACAATATGCATTCTGATATGGCTAAATAGAAATGTATACATCTAGGAACAAAGAATTAGGCAGGCCATACTTACGTGAGGGGGACTTTATCCTGGGAAGTAGTGACTCTGAAAGATGTGGGGATCCTGGTGGATAATCGGCTGAACATGAACTCCCAGTGTGACTCTGTGGCCAAAAAAGCTAATGCAATCCTGGGAGTATAAACAGGGCAATCTCAAATAGGTGTACAGAGGATATTTTACCTCTGTTTTTGGCCCTGGTGTGACCACTGCTGGAAGGCTGTGTCCAGTTCTGGTGCCCACAATTCAAGAAGGATGTTGATAAATTGGAGCGGGTTCAGAGAAGAGCCATGAGAACAATTAAAGGATTAGAAAACATGCCTTGTAGTGATAGACTCAAAGAGCTCAATATATTTAGTTTAACAAAGAGGCGGTTGAGGGGGCGTGACTTGATTATAAGTACTTACATGGGGAACAAATATTTGATAATGGGCTTTCAGTCTAGCAGAGAAAAGTCTAACATGATCCATTGTCTGGAAGTTGAAAATAGAGAAATTGGAAATAAGGTGTAAATTCTTAGTGACAGTAATTAACCACTGGAACAATTTGCCAAGAGTCATGGTGGATTTTCCATCACTAACCATCTTTAAATCAAGATGGACGTTTCTCTATAAGATATACTCTTCTTCAAAAGGAATATTTGGGGAGTTCTTTGGCCTGTGTTCTACAGGGAGGTCAGACCTTCTGATACCTTCTGGCCTTTGAATCTGTGAATCCAAATGAAATCTAGAGGAGTTATTGCACACCCAGTAGGGCAGGGAATCTCATGTGGCGGGCTGTTGGTTTTTGTTTGCTTGTTGGTTTTTTATTTAAATTCAGCAGGCCCCATGCCCTAGCTCCATCACACAATCTAGCATTCAGATTTTATTTCCTAGTAAAAAAGGAGGGACGCACCCTCCAGTGTTAGCTTGATATCTTATTATGCATGTAGATCCTCTCATATAAATGGACATTCCTACATCTGCTGAGGCTTGGGACTAAATATAGCCCTGGCATAAGCATGAACAACCCCACTTTCTTCAGAGTAGTTGAACTGGACCATGACATCTCCCAGACAGTGAAGTAGTTTAAAAATAATCTGTGTACAAATGTAGTAAACTTTGTTAAAGGCTGTAAAATCCCATTTAAATACACCTGTTAACTGAATAATCCATGTGAGTTCTGTATATTGGACTAGGATCTTCTCCCTCTATATGTGCCCATTGCCCCTACTACTGCTAACAGAATCATAGGTCTGGTGGTGGGGCAAAGACCAGGACAGTCCTTCCCAAATTCTATGTACAATCTGAGGCATGAGATTTGGTTACCTCCTTATCTTAAGGACAAATGTTGTTGGTTATAAAATAGGACAATAGAAGTCGGAGCTGGAAAACACCCAATATATCAGACTTTGTCCTATTGCATGGAAAGTCTATAAACCCCTTCCATAGAACCCATGTCGAAGGGAAGACCTGTCATTTTGTATACAACTTTCATATATAGTGACTCACTTTTTAAGGCAAGTAATGAGTTTGCCTGATATTAGCGGCGGGGCGGTTGTGCATGTGTTACTTATGGCCAGGACCTCCTTATCATTTTAAAAAACCCTTTCAAATCTAACTGCTGTCATAATTGGAAGATTTTTAACACATGGATCATCACTTTTGTGTGTTGTTTTTTTTCCCCCCACCCCCAGGTTTTTGTACTGGCTCTCACATTTCTGCTGCTCTTCCTTGGAAACTTTCTTACTACTTTAAAAGTGGTGCACACTAAGCTTCAGAAAAACAAAGACGAAATGAAGAAACTGTGAAACTGGGTTGCAATGGTGGACACTAAAATGTGGGATCTCTCTTCTTTCCACTCTTAGCAAATAATTTATCAGACTGAACCTGGTAAACCGCAGCTATATTGCAAATAAATCTTGGAAGAAATCCTGTTCGTGTTATGCTAAGAAAGTGAACTCTCCCAGCACAGACTGCTGTACAGTATTATGCAAGCACTGCTCTCCAGCCTGCAGCCCTATTATTTAAGTATATTTAATACAAAACACATTTGGTGTTTTTCCTTTGTATATACAGCAGTAATGTGGCATGCACCTGCCAGAACCAAACGCCAGTCTAGGGAGAAAGTGATATTTACTGTAATTCTGTTCCTTCATCTCTTGTTTTGTTTTTGGGTTGGGTTTTTTTGATCCAGCATTATTTTATTTCTGAAATTCCAGGTACTACATTAGTAAAACTTTAAAAATGTTTTAGGTCAACCAGTAATGCAGACCTAATGTTTATTTCTAAAACTGTTAATTAAAACACTACATTTTCAGTGGCCTATGCTAACCTGTGTGTACTGTGAAACTTGCCCATATTTGTACCATGCTGCTATGCACACTTTTTAAAAACTATTTAAAGAACAAACTTTTTTAAGTTAATGGTTTAAATGTTGTTTTGTTATTGGCTTTGTTTGCAGGAAGCCTGGTGATATTCAGCTAGAGATCAGGTAATCTGGTCAGCCCTGAAAAACGCACAAAATAAATAGTACAACACAGAGCTGTTTCAAGACCTTCTTTTAAATGTTGCCTTTACCATTGTTTTCCAAAACCATGTTCTTCTGAAAATGGCTCTGACCGAAGGCTGTAATTGCAGCACTTGGGCCTCTAATTTCATTTGTGAAAAGTGTTCACCCACAGGTGATATGGTGTTTTTTGTCTTATTATTTTCCTGTGTGCAATTCATTCGAGAGCATAGCGACTGTGTGTTTGGTTTCACCTACATAGTTGTTTATGGGGCACTTAGTGCACTGGATGAGGTAAATAGAATTAGTACCACTGTATTTGTCAATCTAAGGCATTGCTTTTTAGAGTACTGTATACTGAATTTTTGCCTATATGCTATAGCTTGCTTTGCAGTAAAAAAAAATTTATCCCTCTTTGTTAAGAAAACACACATCCACATCTTACTATGTTTTTCCACCTAATGAGGGCTATGTAGTTCCTGAATCAGAGCTTTTTCCATACAGCAATGGAGGTTTTCCCTCCTTCCCTTCATGTTCAGTCTGAGCATACTGCCTCTAGAGAGGAGTAGAATGTCCAAAGCTTGTTTTGTTTTGGATTTACAAATTATTCCATTTTAAGCTTGGAGGTATGTAAAGGCCTCCATGAATCTTAATGGTCCTTGGATTTTTTGCAGGCTTGTTTTGGGATCAATTCCAAGTTAACAAAACCTCTGCATCCCATTAGCATACAACACAAAGGAAATAGAAAAATCCACCTTGGAGTGATCTATCAGCTGTATTCACAACCAAATGAAGAGAAGACTGGAAATGTACTGTTTCTAACCTAATAACCTGACCTTTGGAATTTTTCAGGCTGTTAACAGGAATCCTGGCAAAAACAGCAAATGTAAGCCTCCCAGACAGAGAAATAACTTGGTGACATGCTATGAACACAACCTACTCCCCCCTAGGATGGACTGTATATTACAGCCCAAACCATGGCATATTTCAGAAAAAACACCTCTGCTGCAAAATATCGATTTAAAACATGCTATTTCTGTAGTGTCACATTATTGTGAAAAAGATCTTCAGCTGTAGTAACCTCATGTACAGAGAAATTTCTCACAAAACTTTAAAGCCTTGGAGTGCAGGTACTAATTTGAATGGGATGGTTCCTTTCACTTTAAATGGGAAGCAACTAGGACACCTGCATGCATTGTTAACTAGATGTCCTTGAAGGTAAAATAGTCATTGTGGAGCAGCAGGGATGATTTCACCATGTAATTCTTAACACACATGTAAGTAGCACAGCTCAATTTGCCACACACCCTACAAGCACACGGTGTTGAATAAATTGCACTTTTGTTTATTTTAAAGTAAGTTTTGCTTGTATTGCACATTAGATCCTCTCTCTGGGTATCAAAATAGGGGCTGCTGTTACCTGCCAGAGGTAAAGCATTTAGCAAAATGCATCATATCTGCACTGAGTGGCTTTCTGAGTAGACTATAATGAAGGATGTAAAACACTTTCTATTTTCATAAATCCAATCTGGAGAGACCACACAATAGATTTTCAAACAGCTGCTTTACGAAGTGGACATTCTAATAAAGGTGCAGCAGAATAGTACATAGTTTGGGGCAGTTGCTTGAGGCTACTCTGAGAAGAATGGTTAATAGAGCTGTTGCTTTGTAATTATAATTAGAACTCATCAATATAGAACTTTGATTTTTATCCTCTCTGAATCTGACCATCTGCTCTGATTTAACTTCACTCTTCCTTTGAGAGAAGTAGCCATTTCTATCCTTTCCATGTCAATTCAGCAGTGAACAAGACCAATAAATCAGAGCCAGATCTACCAGCACCTATGTGCTAGAATAAAACTATGAGCAATAAAGACTGCCAGTCAAACTGTCAGTGTATAAATAAGAGAGTGGATTTGGAACCTGGCTGACAGTCATTTACGGTCGGGAACAAAATCCAGATAAACGTAGCCATCTACCACAAACTAATATTGATAAAGCGCTTTGAAATCTTCATATGAGGTGCAACAAAAAGCACACACTATTACAAAATCAAATTTTAAAAATAAAATCAAAGTAGGAATAAAAATGTACTGAAAAAAAGACAAATTATAAAAATAAACAATTGGTAATAAACGTATCAAGATTTTAACAAGCTCTTCTATAGTCCCAGTGGTCTGGATCATCATAATATCGAACACCGTTTCCTCTTTTTTCGGCGCTTAGCTTTTTTCATGGCATTCAGTGCAATGTTTGTTGCTTCTTTAAAAACATCCTCTATGTTTTCTCGACACTTGGCTGAGCACTCCAAATAAGCTTGTGCCTTCATCTGCTGACAAGTTGCTTCACCCTAGAAGAAAGGAAGGTAACAGACGTAAGTGTTCTTGGAGTTACAGTGGGAAGAAGTGAATAATTCTGAAGATATCTTTATACAATGGGGTCAGGCAAAAGAAGGCAGATGCTTTTGTTTGTAGAGTTAAGGAATAAGTAGTATTAGTCCTAGGCACTACCGTAAAACACATATTTAATAATAAATTAATAGGCTCCACTTATAGAACAACTTTATTGATTTTTAAAAGTTTAATCTAAAAGCCAGCTTGGAAGTGCAATGCAGTGGAGATTCCTTGGTTGCCTACCTTGTTGTGTGTTAAAGCCCAACTTTTTTAAAGTTTAGGCTCTAAACAGAACCTCCAAAACCCAAACTTGAAGGCTCAAATTAGCAATAAGGTGTGTATCCAGTCTGTCAGGACCCATATTTGAAAATTGGGCCTACAGTACAATCAAATTGACCCAAGCGCAATTTTACATAAAATTTCTCCACTTTCAGATGTCAGCAGGCTCCGGAGATGGAGGGATCAGTGTTTGAATCCCAAACTCAGTTCTTAGCATTAGAAATATCTTGTGTTGCATGAGTGGCCCCATCTGCCTGAGCCAGGAACAGAGTGGATGAGTTTCAGAAGACGACTCAACCAGAAGGATGGGTCAGTTTTTTAGGTAGGGTATTCAATGAGGAGGAAATGGAGCATAAGAGACAAGAAATCCTGAAGCACACTGCCCCCAAAAGAAGCTTCTTACTAACCGATAGCCATAAGAATTCTGTATATTTACGTTTCTACAATACAAACTGCTGGTATATGCCTGTTATCCATTTGGTGATTGACCTCTATCTGGAAATGTATACTGTATCTATGTATGTCAGAGGAGCCTGTGAAGAATCCACTCAAAGCTGGGACTGAAGCCAGGGTATTTAGGGACCAAAGCAGCAGTTCCATAGCTTGAGCTGAAGGAAGATCTCCCCCCGTAGGAAAGTTTTAGTTTGCCACGTTGTTGTAAAGAGTCTGAAAAGTTTGTGAACTAGGGGCTTGTCTTCACTACCAGGATAAGCTGACCTAAGTTACGCTACTCCAGCTACGTGAATAATCTAGCTGGAGTCGACATAGCTTAGGTCGACTTATCCCGGTGTCTTCGCTGCGCTGCATTGACGGGAGACGCTCTCCCATCGACTTATTTTAATCTTCTTGGGGAGCTGAAGTACCAGGTCAACCGGAGAGCGCTCTGTATCCTGCTAAATCGACCCCTGCTGCATCGATTGCAGGAGCGTTGATCTCCCTGGAGTGCAGACCCGCCCTCAGTCCTTTTAAGCCATACTGATAGATTTTCTTAGAAAGGAGCTTTCATAAATGTCTACAATTTCTTGTGGGAATAACAGTATCAAGGCTCCTGGCAGCACCTGAGCTGAACTAAATAATAAAATACTATATGCCTGACATTGGTGAAGAGTCACTAAGTGCAATGGAGGCAGTATGCAGAATTTCACAAGATGAACATTTTCGTTTCTGACTGACTGGAAAGAACACCGTAATTTCTGACACCGATGCAGCAATAGTTCCTTTTTTAATATTGCAAAATTTTGGTACACATCAAGCTGTTGCCCAAACTTGTATACAGAATACTCAAATGTTGCTGCTGTCTTAGTGACCTGTAACAGGAGGGATGACCGTATGTTATAGGAAAGAACAGGGAATCAGCAGACCTAGGTTCTAGTTTCATTTCTGTAGAAGCTTCCTGTGCGACAAGGCACAAGTCACTCCACCACTGACTAATCATCCCCATCTGTAAAGTGGGGATAGCGATACTTGCCTACATAACATGGGTGTTGTGAGGCTTGGTTAATGTTTGTAAAGTGGTGCTTGAATGGTAAATTTTGCATCAATAAGCATCAGTAACCTTTGAGGTGAGATGCTCCTTTTTGTGTCAAGATTTTCATGGCAGTGCTTACTATTCATGAGTAATAATACCATATTATAGGAAATGTGCCTATTGCTCGTGCAAAGGACAGAACTCTTAAATGCAATCCTCTTTACCTGGTTATAGGTGATTGGTTCCTGCTCAGAAGACATGAGCTTACGTAAATGTTCTTCGTCCTTTCGAAGGTCTGTTTTGCAGCCGATAAGTATTAGAGGGACTCCCCGGCAGAAGTGACTTACTTCAGGATACCACTGATGGTGGAAAATGAAACATTTAGGTAAGCTTAAAAAAAAAAAAAAATCAAAATGACAATGCCTAGGAGCAAAATCAGCATTCAATTTACAACAAAACTGTAGAAAGTATCCAGTGCTAGGAACAGGGTAGGATATTATTTGTTTAAGTGAGTATTTATAGATATACTGCAACCTGACCTGTAAATATGTGGGGCCCCTCCTTTCCTTAAAGTACTCAGAGGTAAATTATGCTCTGCTCATGGAGGGTTAACTCTGCATGGGACTTCCTATATCTCAGTGGTTCTTAAACCGTGGGCCGCTTGCAGTCCAATCACCACACAGCTGCAGCCCATGTGACATCCTCAACGCCATACAGGTAGTATTGGATGCGGCCCACAGAACACACTGGTAAATAGGTTGAAAACCACTGCTATATCTCCTACATTGTGTTTTAGGACATGAGTGAAGATTGAGATAGAGAGCAGTTTGGAAAAGCTGGCAGTTTCTTTAGGACATGAACTTGCATTTCTTGCACACCCAACATTTCTGTCCTGAGCAACGAAATGTTGCTATTGACTTCAAGAAAGCAGGATTAGCCCCATAACGAGCAAGCTTTCAATAAAATAGCCAATTGAAGTAACTTTTTTTTTTTAGCTGAGCAGCTGCCGCATCTAGACAGATTATTTATATAATGAAAGCACCTAAAAGCCCCAATCAGCATCAGGTATTGTATAATCATGTAGGTAAGATATGGTCCCTGCCCCCAAAGAGCTCACTTACACTAGTGTAAATCCAGAATAAATCCTCTAAAGTCAGGTACAAGATCAGAATCCAGACCAGTTGTACTTAGTTTCATTTATCTGTTTTTAGTCTTAAGCTTTCACTTTGGAGCATCACAAAGACTGAGCAGAAATACTAAATTCAAAGATATAAAGAGGTGCCTACCTCTGTCTCCCCTGTACCCAATACCATACATCATTAACTTTAGAATCAAATTCACCTCCATTACACTCAAACCTAGTGTTATCTCACTGTTGTTGATTTCAGAATTGCTTAGAAAACAGACTAAAAAATTCCAAACCCTTTAAGAGAGTGAAGGGCTAGCCCATCATATATTCTGAAACAGATGGAGTGTATGCTACTTAGAGAGATTAGAGGGACACTGACAGCTATTATACTGAGGGGCTTTTTTTTTTTTTTTTGCGCTTTACTCTTCAATGTTTAATACCATCTTAAAAAATTTTGAAAATAAGAATTTTGTTCTAATTTATACAGACTGGCAGCAAGAATAGCTGCGCACACTGACAGTGTTGATGAAGAGTCAATAGAGTGAAAACCAAGAGTGTGGAACACTTTTTTATAAATTCTGTAAAAAATAAGATTTCTTTTTAAGGCAGTGATGGAACTGTGGATTTTAACTAACAAAAAGATTTATGATCCAGAGGACATTCTCCATCAGAGTACAACCACTTTCACGTGCTGTAGGTCACATTTTGAGCCTTAAGGGTGCAGTAGTCTCCCTTTAGATGTTTCAGCCTAAAGATCTGTAATCAATCACAGAACTGAAACTAAGTTATAGTAAATTTCTCTTAGTAACTCGAGCAAGGGGATTGACCTTGAACTTTCTGCCTTCTGGATCTGGGGTCCCAGTCAACCTTGCAGCAGGGGGTCACAAATAGGATTACGTGTTGTTAAAAGCCAGGTGTAAGAGTTCTTTGGGGCAAATAACAATAGAACAAAAATATATGAATAAAAAGAGAGGGAGAGAAGACAAGCTTTATATGAGGTACTCCTGGAGAATTAGATCTTGCTCTTCTGATTTCTCTGTATTTTTTTTTATATTGTATTGAAACTAAGAGGGCCATAAACCCAATCCCGAAATCTGAACACCCATAAATGTTGGAGAAACTCTTATCCAGATCTCAGCACCTTGTCTCAGGCCCATTGCTAGATGTGTGGTGATAACTAATAAATGCACTGTTCATTTATCTTAGGGAGTGGGGCTGCTAAAAGCATTGTTACAAATCAGTCATTGTTACCCATATAGCATAGTAAATTTAACATGAATGAGCCAAGTAATTATGAGGTCTCTTACCTTAATTAAAACGTTATCATAGCTAGTAGGGTTCATAACATCATAACAAATTAAGACCATGTTTGTATTCTGGTATGAAAGTGGTCGTAGCCGATCATAATCCTCCTGCCCTGAAACACAGGGGGGAAAAAAGGTGATAATGCTTTGGATAAAAAACCTCATTCTTTACCATATTCCAATACAGATATTTTAAAATGCATTCCCATTGCCTGCAGTATGTCTTGTCTTAAAAACAGTAATGACGTAGATTGTAAACATTTTTAATAAATCATTGGCCTTAATAGGATGAGTTCCTTGTTTGAAAATGTATAAGAAGATATGTTTAAGAGAATCAACTTGATAGTAAAAAGGTCTATAAAAATCGAGTCCTTGTGAAATCTCAGTATGAAGCAAAAGGATTTTTTTTGTCTAAATGTTCAATATTTTGCAACTTGATACTAAGCAGGACACAAAGCCATATGGTGCAGGATCTGAAACATGAAGGCTGGATTGTCATTCACTAGCAGAGACAAATGCATGAGTCTAGACTGGAAGCTTATTACTGATTAAAAACTGTGGAATTGGCAAGGGTCTTATTGACATACAGGGTTCAATGGGCAGGAAGCATGCCTACTTTTTGCCAGATGTGAATGCAGCATAATAAAAAGGCTTAAATAACAAATGCCCCTCTCTTACCGACATCAGTGAATGGAGTGAGGTAATGAGCATGACAACTGCCACCCCTCAGATGGATTGCTATCCATTAGTGAGCACGTAGCCTCACCAAGCTACACCGCGCAACATGCCCAATTCTAAAGAGTACTACTACCAGCTGCTAGCTGATTTTACAAGATACACAGCAACATGAGCCAGTCTTAACTGATCTATGAAATGGGCCTTAAGAGCTGCTGATGCCGCCTGGAAATGTTTGTAAAAATTTCCTTTTCGGAATAATTTGACGTGGGGAATTCATTTTACTATTCACACACATTCACATGAGAAAACTGGTCTGCTTATTTCCCTGTATTTATGACATACCAGTCACCTTCAAACCAGAGCATTGTGATGTCACACTGAGCAAGCATCTGGAGGTGGCCAATCAGCACCAGAGGCAGTTGAACTAAGAAATCAAAGATCCTGTTTCATCAAAGGCCAATACTTCAATAGGATGTTTTTCAGAGTTTTCCAGAAGGCACCAGCGGATGTTTAAGAAGACAGTGAAGACTCTGATGACCACTTGGGTGCTGCCCCCTGTGTCAGGTATGTCAGCAGGAAGTTTTTGACTTTCCAAGAAGTGAGTCAGGGATGCCAATCCTTTTTGCATTATTATTTTCATGTATTTACTGAGCACCATGTGTGCCTGATACTATACAAAAACACAGAGGCAATTCCTGCCCAAAGGAGATCACAAATTACGTAGAGCGTACCCCTCTGCTAACCATTATCTCAACATACTTTCTAATATACAGCTGTTGTATCATGGTATTCAACACAAAGCCCTGCACTTCTTATTGTACTCAAAATGCTTGACTCTAAAGTATGGTGCTATCAAGAAGGGCATGGATATAGAAAGAACAATATCGCTACAGAGCGTTCAAATCTTTCACCTGAATATTTAACCCCTGCTGGTAACAGGATTCCCAACTATTTGCATAAAGGGATGGTGGTGGGTTAGGACCCAATTCTAGATGGTGCCAAGAGCCCTTAATTTCAGTGGAGTTAAGAGCATTTAGTATTTCAGAGGAGACGCTCCAAAACAGTGCAGAATTGGGCCCTTAAATTTTTAATCCCAGAATAAGACAATTAAGGAATTTATTGTGCTCTGCAGTGTTTATATAACATGCAACAACTGTATTTCTAATCCTTCTCATTTTCTGAAATCCACCTAGTTGTTTGCACCAGATTTACCACTTTTTTTTTGGGGGGGGGTAATGTAATGCTTTGCTTAGGTGATCATCTAAAGTTGTATTAAATTTCAGGAGAAAAAAAATGAGAAGGAAATTAGTTGTAAAGCAATATGGCTGGGATGTGTGTGTTTGTACACGTGCTTCTTTCACTCACGTTTATTACTCTTAGCCTCCACAAAGGCAACTTTATGAAATCAAGCTATCCTCTAGCAGCCAGTTATAAAATTACCCACAGTAACCACTCCAGCCTCTCAACTCATTTGCGGCTACTTTGCCATAACACTTGTGATTGGTGAAGCAGATTGATGGATGTTCCATTTTACAAAGTCATGATGACCTGGCCCAAGTTGGAACAGAGCAAAAACACTTAGTCTGATGAACATGCCAGGGATCTCAAAAGAGCTGCTTTTGATGGTGTAAATGAAACTGATGTGCCATAACGAGAAACAGAACAGATAGATATGACATCACATGGCTTCATCTTCACAGTCAAAGTTGAGGGTGGGTTGAGAAGAACCAGGTATTTATTTTTAATTGTAGACTAAGATAACCAGATAAAGACATGAGGAAATCTAGATTTACACAGGCATAACACGTTTTTTCTTAAGTATTTCATACACCTCAGGAATGGCAAATACAGAGCATAGCAAAAGCTAAAATACACACACCATAATGGGAAGGCTAGAAAGGACATGGTTTATGGAAATATAACATGATCTGATTCCAGTGTGCGCTTATTTGTTTCTCTTCAACTCTGCCAAAATTAACAGCTACAGCGTTGTTCTTAAAAACAGTTGTGTTATAACTTTAGCAGGCTGAAACTGACATCTTAAACAACATTGGAAGAAGGACACTTTCAAGTTCTCTCTATTGCAAATATAGATACTTTAGCACTTATGTTGTGGTAGATATATACATAGAATAGTGCAATAGGAAATGTTTGCCCATATGTGAAATCCTATTGTCTGAGCTATTGTGCTTTCTCTTTTTTGTAAAAAGCAAAATAACAAAACCTGTGTGAAAGAAGGAATGATGGAACTAAGGGTTTGTTTATACTGTATTCGCATAGACATACCCGAGCTAGCTTTAATCAAGCTAGGTTGAAGCTGTAGCAGTGAGTGCTTCAGCACCGAGTAGCCCCGTAAACAATTGCCCAGGGTTCTCAGTGGGCTTGTACAGGTTTAGCTTTGGTATGTCTCCTCAAGCTGTAATCACACCCTATGAGTAGAGTATACACATACCCCAAATGTTTTAGTGTTTAATTGCCATAAAGAAGTTGGAGGAGGAGGTCAGAAATGTGCATATTGTAACTAAGCTGCTGGATGACTTCCATCCCCAGCTCCCAGAACAAGTGTGGGGAAAGGGTTGGGCCACAGCCCTCTGGGAGGGGCAGCAACCCAAATCAATATCTAGCTAATAGAGGGCACCATGTTACCCAGAGTGATCAATCAAAAGAACTACATCAGGAGGCAGAGGGGATCAGGCTCAGGAAAGATCCTGTGTGTGCAGCAGATTGAAGGCAGCAACCTGAAAGCTGGCTGCAGAAGGGATCCATGCCAACACCTCACTGGCATCACCAATTGAGATACCTCGGTTTAGCACAGGGGTCGGCAGCCTTTCAGAAGTGGTGTGCCGAGTCTTCATTTATTCACTCTGAGGTAAGGTTTCATGTGCCAGTAATACATTTCAACGTTTTTAGAAGGTCTCTTTCTATAAGTCTATAATATATAACTAAACTATTGTATGTAAAGTAAATAAGGTTTTTAAAATGTTTAAGAAGTTTAATTTAAAATTAAATTAAAATGCAGAGCCCCCCGGACCAGTGCCAGGACCCAGGCAGTGTGAGTGCCACTGAAAATCAGATCACGTGCCGCAGGTTGTCTACCCCTGGTTTAGTGATTACATCATCAGACCCCTTGGTGCTGCAAGGCCCAGTAATTCCATATTTGAAAGCTTTTGTCAGACACCAATATGACTTATTTAGGATGCAAACATTTTTTAAATATGGAAATGTTAATTAACCAAAACAAAAAACCTCCTCTGACATTTTAGGAAAAGGAAAAGGACATCCAACTAAACCAATTTGCTTCATCCAACTCTGGATGGCAGATTCCATTTTCCTAGTCAATCTCCTTTCATTCCTTGGTCCTCCTACCGAGATGGTCAACACAAGGGCTAATTAAAGTTCAGTTGTGGTGGTGGTCTGTGTAATATGGACAACTGTCTTCTAGGAAGTGGAGTAAAATCTCTTAATTTAGGCCAATGAATAATAATCAGATGATTGTAAATTTCAACCTGTTTGCAATGCCCCAGGTTTGACAGGAAGCTATTACATTACATAACATTTTGAGAGACCGGACCGTGGTGCCTTAATTAATCTGGGTCCAGTTAGATCCAAAAACTAAGCTATACATGCCTTTCTTCTTGCCCTCAAACACAGTGATGAGAATTGTCAAAATGGCAGACACACCAAATTCTCATCATCCTCTCACACACACAAAAATCCAAAACCTTATCAAAGACTTGCCCTTTCACAGCTTTCACCATTGCATCCGGATGATGACATGCAAGAACAGTAGTGTGAGAACACCCTTTTTCAGTAAGGTTACTCAGGCTGTGGTCAGAATTTTTCTTCACTGTGGCTTTAAAACAAAAATTCTGCAAGATGACATAAAACAAACTCGCAGGACTGAACAGAAGGGGCCACTTAGCTCAGACAAAACCTTTGATTACTTGTGTTCAGTCTCCGTTTTAATTCTTCTCTCTCTGTTGTGTTGTCAAAATTGGTGTATGAAAATTTCATTAAGGTTCTTTTATATATATTTTTTCTTTCAAAATTTTCAATCTCTCTTCCCACAGTACACCTCTACCTTGATATAACGCTGTCCTCGGGAGCCAAAAAATCTTACCACGTTATAGGTGAAACCGCGTTAAATCGAACTTGCTTTGATCTGCCGGAGTGCACAGCCCCGCCCCGCCCCCCCCGGAGCGCTGCTTTACCGCGTTCTATCGGGTCGCGTTCTATCCGGGTAGAGGTGTATTGTAAAATAATTGCCATTTAGCATTAATTTCCTGCATCTTTGTGCCTTTAAGAAGCTGCCTGCACAGTGCTTCACTTGGTACAGCTAATTTCACATGAGATGCTTAATTCCTTGCCAAAGACACATGCTCGCTCCTTTGCCTGAAATGGCAACTAGCCCAGGCTGTCACAACTTGGCCTTCAGAACAGGTGGGGCTTCAGTCTGATGGGGGACAGGAAGAGAGGAGGAAATTAGGCCACGAGTTGCACTCTCTCCAGTCTCGCTGCCAGAAGGGAAAATTGGGCTAGTTTGAGTTTCTCAGTCTGCATGAGGCCCTAAGCAGCTTGGATTGCTTGCATAGACTACCCACCCTGCACTCTACATGGGGACGTAATTAAAATTCTCTCTTGCATCCAAGATCCTTGGGAATATATCCTGATACTTTCAATCAGCTTAATGACCATTGTGCTTTGTTGTAGTTATTCAGTAGGTTCCTACAAATGAACTATTTCTCTATTCTATAACATGCTGTCCATGCAAAGAGGACCAACACCTAAGAATTCTTAGACCAGGTCTCAGAGAACATGACTTTAAAGGAAGGCGTTAAACTCCTGTAACAGACAATTATACAATAGCCTACCCACAACAGATGTTTCTTCCTAACCCCTGTCCATTCATGTCTAGATTCTGTCCTGAAGCATGAAAGCTTATATCTCTTATAAATTATAATCCTAGCTGGTGTTACTGTAACTTATTTAAATAAATAGGATTCTCTTTTAATCTAAACTCATTTCTTCATTAATTTCTTGTGGCAGTGAGTTTCATGAATTAATTACATATTGTCTGATAAAATATTTCTGTTTATCAGTTTTAAATGTATTGCCTGTGTACTTCATAATAATGTTGAAAAAATGCAAGCCATCGGTATAATGGACTTTACACTTATTTTTAGATTTTTCCAAATATTTTAATTATTTACTTCTAGAATATATTCTCTGGCTAGAAAAGGTCCCATGGGACTACAATTGACAGACAAGGGAAAAATATTTATTTAAAGCTAAATGTCAGTGGCATCCTATGAACTGACCAGCAAGAGTGCTCCTCTCTCTGGGTATGTCTACATCAGGGGTAGGCAACCTATGGCACGGGCACCAAAGGCAGCACGCAAACTGATTTTCAGTGGCACTCACACTGTCCAGGTCCTGGCCACCAGTCCGGGGGGCTCTGCATTTTAATTTAATTTTAAATTAAGCTTCTTAAACATTTTAAAAACCTTATTTACTTTACATACAACAATAGTTTAGTTATATATTATAGACTTATAGAAAGAGACCTTCTAAAAACATTAAAATGTATGACTGGCACACGAAACCTTAAATTAGAGTGAATAAATGAAGACTCGGCACACCACTTCTGAAAGGTTGACGACCCCGGTCTACATAGCAGTTGAAGATGGGACTGCAGCGTGGGTAGGTACAAATGTGCTAGCTTTAATTTAGCTAGCATGACTAAAAATATCAGTGAAGATGGGGCCACATGGGCTGTACAAGCTCACCTGGGACTCTGGGTACACACTTGCATTGCAAGCACATGCAACCATGTCTTCACTGCTATATTTAGCTGTGGTCGCTAGATTAAAGCTGGTACAGATATGCCTATCTGAGCTGTAATCTCACCTCTGAATGCAATGTAGACATACCTAATTTGAGGCAGCATGTTGGCATGACCTGTGAAGTGGTATGCAGGATCCTAACTACATGAAGATTGAAAATAATCTCCTTTCCAGCCTGGCAGCTGGTGGCAATTGATAGTGCTACGAAGGGTATATTTCCTATTTAAATGAACATTTCTATCACATAACTGAGAACCCCTATAGTTAAAGAAAAATTCTGAATTATCTTTTGTTTAGTCTGTGGTATGTTAGCTAAGGCTAACTTTCAGAACTCAGTTTAGAAAACTTGGGGAAATTTACTTTCTTCCTGGCAGAAATGAATCAAAAATTAAATATGACAATATTTACAGCCTTACATTTTTTCCCAGGAGGGCCCTGTGAGTCACCTTGTTACCCCCCAGCTCCTGCATGAGGGAGTCTTGTGCTTGGCTGGGTGTCAGCTCCCTAACTCCACCAGACTGTGAGCCACTCAAACAATCTCCTCTGTGCAGTCCTACCCTTTACTTTGTCTTGCAGATTAACAACATGTGCCCCCCAGGTCCTTTGAAGCATTCCCCTGTGATATCCAGCCCCTGACACTGGTTACTCACAGAACTACCAAGTCCACTGTTCCAAAGGAACAATATACCTACCAGCTTGTATGATCCAGCTCAGGATCACACCATTTAGATATACCGATAGTAAAAACAAAAGAAAGTTTTTATCATTAAAGACTAAAGATTCAGGAGATAGTGAGTAAGGATATTGGAAACAAATGGTTACTTATAAAACAAAATCATAACATGCTTTCTAGAGACTAAACTTCATTAGCAAGGACATTCATCTGAGGATTAAGTTTCTCACCCCAAAATATTTTACAGCATCTTCAACCAAGGTTGGCTGAGATCCCATGTTCATGAATGTAAATGCACTGCCCATTTACTTCCTAGGTGTAGGATAATGGGGTGTCTTTTTTGCCTCATAAATATGCCCCCAAAGTTCATTGGCTTTGTACACAGCCAGGATAACCACCTGAGACTTATTTTTCCTGTGTGCTGCTTCCCTGCTGACTTCAGATCTCCTTGCTAACTTGACTTTGTATGTAAATGGACATCCATTGTGTTAGCTTACAATGTTTAATTTACATCCTGACAGAGACAGACATTTCTTACCTCCTGTCCGGAGGAAACTCTGTTTTCACTTCTGCCTTGATACAGACTTTAAAAACATAGTTTCAGTATATATACATAACTCCTTAGATAGCATCTGTACATATATTTCACAATGATATTGATGACCAGTGTGATCCTGCTTTTCATTTAAGATCTGACATTACATTCTCTGATGAACTAGAATGTACATGCCAGAATCAAGATATTCTTGTAACCCTGTTGCCAATTGCCATTAAGGGGTTCTTGGGTCACACATGCACTTTTCTAAACTCCTCATCAGAAGGTTTTGGATTTTAGTGGCAACCATCTTTGTGGTCATGTAGGACTGGAAGGACTCCAGCTAGAGATTGTCAATGTCACTTTTAATCAGCCACAGTGAGCAGTATGTGTGACAAAAGGCATTACCCTCCCCTCCCATGCGTCCCTCCGGAGCGGAATATGCTCTTACCTAACCTCCTGAGATGGCAGTGGAGGGGGAGACCAGCATCAGAAATTAAACCCAGATCTCCTGAATTACAACATAAAGCATTACCACCAGTGGATTGTAATTCTTTACATGCTAAATGAAAGGAGTTAATTTACCTCTCAATTCCTTTACCTCACTTTACAGTGAGGCATTTTAATTGAATAAGCTGATGCAACATGTATTTGCAGGCAAAACAATGTATTGCAAACTCTTTGTGGGTTGCAGCACACAGACCACCAACTTCCTGCTACAGCAAGAGATGTTTCTGATAAGGAAGATTATAGAGAAAGTAGCACACAATAATACAAAAGATCTACTGTGAAAAATTCTTATTCTATCCACTTTTATTCCAATTCATGATTTCCAGTTGTTGCTAAACTGATCATATATAATGAAAATTTTCCCCTAATTTGAATTAAACCTGTGAAATATATTAAAACTCTCCTCCATTTTTATTTTTAATATTTCTCCATAGTCTCCTTGTTCATGTCCTCACAAAGTGGGAGGGAATGGCTTAGAGACCTAGACATCAGGTTTGAAATACAGAGTCCTTGAAACTACAGGCTTAACACAACTCATCCCTTCATCCTACTGAGGTAATACATTGAGTTATATAAATTTTAATATGTGGGGGTGTCTTGGACAAGACCTTAAACAACTTTGAAGTCCTGTTTGCTCTGTGTGAATACTGAAGACCCAACAGCACTTTCTTGAAGAAATGAGATTTGACTCCGTATCCCATGCCAGTTTCCCCTCTGACACTGTTGTCAGGTGTGCCAGTTGGTTGAAGCCCTTCACCCCAGAGATGGCTGCATTTCTGTGGTACTGTAGACTTATAGTTTGTGAAATGTTCTGGGATCCTCCAGAATGAAAAGCACTACAGAAATGTAAACTCTTATTAGAGTTTCGTTCTAGTTTTGCATATAGGTCACTATTCTGTACTTGACAAAATAGCTAATGATCTCCTGTTGTTTATATATGAAGAGTGAAAGAGAAATGTCCAAAACTACCTCGATATTTATGTAATAACTTTCTTAGAGACCCAAAGATTTGTTTCACTGGAAACAATTTCAATTGTTTTGTGTTTAAATAGATTACTGGGGGATGAAACAGCTCCAACATGTTTAAAAGTATTACTTCAACTGCTCAGTTTATCTTCCTTTTCACTGAGCTGGTCAGAAATCTCATACTACAATCCTATTACAGTTTGCAATATTAAGGTTTCAAACTTTGTTATTTTCTTATCAACAGAAGAATCTGGGAGATCTTGGGCTTATAAATGCCATATACTTGTAACTATATGATGGTTTTTGGTCAAGATTTTCCATGACCTTAGTAAGTTTATTTTACAAGAATCACATTTTAAACAATGTTCTTTTGCCTTCAGATAAGTTATACTAATTTTATAACACGTCTCATTGCAAAAGCATAGTTAAACACCCACTAGTTGACAACCTCAGCTTTAAGTTTCAACTGCTTCCCTGGTGACAAAAATGTTAACTATATACACAATGGGGCCTTTAACTCGTTTGGACTTCTATGTTCTATTGCAATAAAAATGTGAAATATAGTAATAGTACATTTTCAGAAATGTTTCTATTAGTACAGAACATAAAATAGTTACCAGTTGCTTTATTACAATTTTAATTGAAATGGAAAATTTGCCTCAAATGTTTTAAATATTAATAAAATTCATTCTTCATGCCTTTTATATATCAGCACTTCCATTTTCTCATGGACTCATATTCTGAACAAACCCTGGTTTGACATCAGAAGAATAATTTAATAATCTCTGATATTCTTTATGTCACAGCTATATGAGCTAAATGGGGGGGGGGAAATAAGAATGTATACATTTGAATATGTAAACCTCAAGTGGCATTAATTCAATCTACTGCTAGTCAAATCTGGTGATAGATACTGTTCAATCAGTAATTGAAAGGGCTTTCCACTGGCTTTGAGGCAGTCAGACAGAAAGCATGATCCAATGATTAGGTCAAATTCCTATGTGACCTTGGGCAAGTCACTTGGCCCAGATCCACAAAGGTACTTAGGCTCCTCAATTCTATTGATTTATGAAAGTTAGGAGACTAAATATCTTTCAGGATCCAGGCCTTAGTCTCTCTGTGTTTTATCTCCTCTTTACAGATGGGGAAATGAAAGTACTTCCCTGCCTCACAGGGGTGTTCTGAGGAAAAATGCATTAAAAATGGTGAGAAACTCAGATACTGTTGTAACAATGGCCATATAAGTAGCTAAAATAATTTAACTGCTGCTATGATCTAAAGCATCTATGGTGCTCCCCAGGACACCTAGGGTTGCGAGGCACCTCACTACCACCTGCCCTAGGTGTGCAGAAGTGCTGTGGATCAGCTCCTTGAAACCACCAGGCTCTGGCAACATGAGCACTGCCTTCCAGGCCTCCGCAGGCCTTGCTCTCTCTATGCAGGAGAGTGATAGGCACACACCAACCCCGGAGACCTCCAAAGGTTCCCCGCAGAGTTCAGCGCTTTTTCCACTGAACACTCACAGAATTACCAGGCCTGCTGTTCCCAAAGAAACAGTACACACCAGCTTGTAAGATTCAGCTCAGGATCATTTTGCTTTACACCACAGCACTTGGATATATTTATAGTGAAAACAAGAATAAGTTTATTACCAAAGAACAGAGTTCAAGTGATAGTGAGTAAGAATAATGGAAACAAATGGTTATTTATATATCTCTCTATCTATCTATCACAACACTCTTTCTAGAGACTAAACTTAACTAACAAGTTTACCACTTGTCTAAAGAAGCTTATCTCGACCAAAGTTCTCTCCAGTGTTTTCAACCAAGCCTGGCAACCCCTTGCCAAGCAAACTCATTGTCCTTCCTAGGCGAAGGATGCCAGGATGTCTTCTTTGTCCCCCAAATGTACTAGAGCTAACCATTCATGTGCACATCAAACTAGGGTCATCCCCCATCCCCACTCCTTACTTCCTCTGGTTATTTTTCTCTCTTTGAAGTTTTCACAATCCTTCTTTAGCATTTGGTTCAGACCAGTGGGAGGAGCCCCACTGGGAATGATACAACACATAATTTACATGTAAACAGACACCTAGATAAACGTATCTTGTCTGACAGAAAACCTGTTTTTCACCATTGCTGATGACCAGTCCCTACGCATAGCTCTTAAGAACATAATTTTCAGCGTACATACGTAACTTCTTACACAACATTCATATGTGTGTTTTGCAATGATACTGATGACCACTGTAATACCGGGATTTTTCTGAGACCTCACATGACACTCATTGGTGAACCAGAATGTATATACCAGACCCAGGAGATTCCTGTAGTTCCTATTCACCCCCCTGTGTGTCCCTTGCAAGTTGGCACTAAGAGGATCCTGGGTCACAGCATCTGAAACAACTGAATAACTTCATTGGCTCTGGACACTATAAAATATATTGGACTAAATTTGCAAAAGTGACCAGTGATTTTGGATGCCCAACTCGGGATACCTTAGATATACGGAGCATCTTCCCTTTGAAAATTAGGCCCCTGAATCATAAAAATGTAGGGTTGAGAGGGACCTTGAGAGGTCATCTTGTCCATTCCCTGGTGCTGAGGCTGGACCTAGTATACCTAGACCATACCTGACAGGTGTTTGTCCAACATGTTCTTAAAAACCTCCAATGAGGAGGATTCCATAACCTCCCTTGTAAGTCTGTTCCAGTGCTTAACTATCCTTATTAGGAAAAACTTTCTAACTGTATCTAACTTAAATCTCCCTTGTTACAGGTTCAGCTGATTACTTCTTGGGCTAATATCATTCTGGATGTGGAGAACAATTGATCACTGTCCTCTTTTAACAGCCCTTAACATATTTGAAGACTGCTATCAGGTCCCCCCTCAGCCTTCTTTTCTCAAGATGAATATGCCCAGTTTTTTTTAACCTTTCCTCATAGGTCAGCTTTTCTAAAACGTTTATTGTTTTTGTTGCTCCCCTCTGGACTCTCTCCAATTTGTCCACATCTTTTCTAAAGTGTGGCACCCAGAACTGGACACAGTACTCCAGCTGAGGCCTCACCAGCGCTGAGTGGTCGGGACTATTACCTTATAACACTCCTGTTATTACATCCCACAATGATATTAGCTCTTTTTGCAACTGCATCACATTGACTCATTCAGTTTGTGATCCACTATGACCCCCAAATCCTTTTCAGCAGTATTACTGCCTAGCCGGTTATTCCTCATTTTATAGTTGTGCATGTGATTTTTTTCTTCCAAAGTGTCATGCTTTGTACTTGTCTTTATTGAATTTCAGCTTGATGATTTCAGACCTATTCTCCATTTTGTCAAGGTCATTTTGAATTCTAATCGTGTCCTCCAAACTGCTAGCAACACCTCCCAGCTTATGTCATCTGACAATTTTATAAGCATGTTCTCCACTCCATTATCCAAGTCAATAATGAAAATATTGAATAGTACTGGACCCAAGACAGACTCCTGCAGCATCCCACGAGATATGCCCCCCCCCCCCAATTTGATGGTGAATCATTGATAACTAATCTTTGAATAGGGTCTTTCAACCAGATTTGCACCCACCTTACAGTAATTTCATCTAGACCATATTTCCCTAGTTTGCTCATGATAAGGTCATGTGGGACTTTATTTTTTAGTAGTAGTAGTAGTACTATTTGTACTATGGTAGTGCCTAGGGGCCCCAGTAATAGACCAGGCCCCATAGTGATTGGTGCAATAAGGTGTCTCATGATGGGTACTGAAAAATGGAAGCACCAAAAATCATTAGACACTTTTGGAAATGTAGGCCATTCTGCTAGTGGAAACAGGGTCACCTAGTCCGATGGCTGCATGACTCATCTTTAAAAAAAATTAAAACAAAACCCCAAACATTTCAGCTAATCAGAAATTTATTAATAAACTGCAGCCAATATAATGTGCTTTTAAGATAGATACTTTTATGACAAAACTGGTCTCCATTAGGCTATAGCACACACGAGGGCTTTTCTCTAGCCCAATGGGAATGCAGTAATTCAATAATGCTACCATACGTAACTGCCACATTAGTGCATCAACATTCATCTGGCAAAGTGATTTAATATACCTAAGTCATGTGATATGATAGAAATAAAGTCACTGTACTGGAACATTGATCCTGTACCAACATCTCGTGTCCTGAAAATGAATTCCTCAGCACTTATGTAGCAGAAGGACAAACCCCATCCTTTGATAGTGTTCTGTTCCAGTTAAATGCTCTCTTAAGCCCACTTTTAATAATAATAATATAAAGATATACCTATCTCATAGAACTGGAAGGGACCCCGAAAGGTCATCGAGTCCAGCCCCCTGCCTTCACTAGCAGGACCAAGTACTGATTTTGCCCTAGATCCCTAAGTGGCCCCCTCACAGATTGAACTCACAACGCTGGGTTTAGCAGGCCAATGCTCAAACCACTGAGCTATCCCTCCCCCCATAGTACTGCACCATTAAGATTTACAAGAAAGAACACATAATTCTTGGCCCTAATCCTGCAACCAAAGAAGTCAATGGGAGTTTAGCCCCTTGGAGCACGTTTGGACCTTAGAAGATGTACTCATATTATAAACTTTTACTCTGAGTAAACTACCAACTTCAGAAAAAGGTGAATTTAAGAGGATCTATTCTTTACGGTGTGAACCCAGTCCAACACTGAGATCTGGTAGTGTGGACCCAAACCGCCAAAAAAGGCCCCATTGACTTTAATGGGACTCCATATTGGGATAAGGATCCACACTAGCAGATCGCAGTAAAGAATTGGGATCTATGCTTGAAACTGTGCTAGCAACAATCATAGTTTTAACCACAGTGTTTTGTGGGCATGGCCACATAGTCCATAAGAAACTGGAATGGTCTCACAAGACACGTGGTAGAAAACACATCACTGAGTCATTTAAAATTAGACTTGACAAAACCCTAGAAAACTGTCTAATAGATAAAACCCTGCACTGACAGAGGACAGTCAATATGACCCAGCAAGTTTACAAAAAATAAGTGACACAGTATTTGCACCCCAAAATTCTACATTAACAAGTTCCAGACATTGGTTATGCATAGTAGATTTCACACCGTTCTTTCCTGAACTTAAAAAAAACTCCAAACTAGTGTATGGTAGGATCCAGATTATCTGTGTCACTGGATTCAAGAGCAAGTGTGTCAAAAAAAATAGGGAGACATACTGGCAATTTATTAGGAAAATGTGGGTAATCAAGATCCTACTGTACTAGACAAAAGGTTCACCGCAAAGATCATTTAATATAAAAAATAGTGCTGAAAGAAGATTACTCTGATGTCCTACAATGGATTTAAAAGGCCAACTATTTTTTTAAATATAAAAATTAAAAAATTGCTTAATCAGCCAATTTCAGCTGTAAGTTAAACTGATGTAAATTTGGAGTAACTGCACTGCGTTCATAAATTAATAGATTCCACAACCAGAAGGGACACTGGATCATCTAGGCTGACTTCAAATATAATACAGGCCATAGAACTTCCCCAAAATAATTCCTAGAGCATACCTTTTAGAAAAACATCCAATCCAAAATTGTCAGTGGTGGTAAACCTACTACAACTTTTGGTAAATTGTTCCAGTGGTTAATTACTCTCACCTTTATAAATGTACGCCTTATTTGCTCTCTGAGTTTGTCTCGGTTCAACTTCCAGCCAGTATCGTGTTATACAGTTCTTTGCTAGATTAAAGAGCCCATTATGAACTATTTGTTGCCCATGTAGATACCTATAGACAGTAACCAGGTCACCCCTTAACCTTCTCTTTGTTAAACTAAATAGATTGAGCTCCTTGAGGCTATCACTATAAGGCATGTTTTCTAATCTTTTAATCATTTTTGTGGCTCTTCTCTGAACCCTCTCCAATTTATCAACATCCTTCTTGAATTGTGGACACCAGAACAGGGCACAGTATTCCAGCAGTGGATGCACCAGCGCCAAATACAGAGGTAAAATATCCTCTCTAATCCTACTTGAGATTTTCCTGTTTATGCACACCAGGACTGCATTAGCTCTTTTGGTCACTGGGTCATGTTTTGGACACACTGGAAGCTTGTGGTCAGTAGATTATTTCTCACGACACCCAAATCTTTTTCAGAGTCACTGCTTCCCAGGATAGAGTCTCCTATCGTGTAAGTGTGGCCTGCATTCTTTGTTCCTAGATGTAAACGTTTACATTTAGCCATATTAAAATACATATTGTTTGCCTGCACCCAGTTTACCAAGCAATCCAGATCGCTCTGAATCAGTGACCTGTCCTCTTAATTATTTACCAAATAGAATTGCTCCTCGTTCAAACTGGTGTAACAGAGCAGAATTTGACACAGTGTATCTTAATGTTAGGGTTCTCTTTTGGAACACAGTTGGACAATTGAGAGTCATTGCTATAGAAACTATAATGAACAAAGTTGAACACAAACCATTCCATTCATCCCTGGGAAGAAACCATAAAAACTGTCAATGTTCTAACATACATTTAGCATTGTGGGCTTTCTATTTTGAACACTAACAGGCTTTTTCAAAAATCCCTTTTACTGTTTTGATCACACATGGTGGGAGATTAAAGTATTTTCCTGGTTGATTACATTACATTTTGCTTCTGGGCACTTGATTTTTAATACCTTCAAGATATGCATGCTATTTGGTGACTTTCTTAATAGTCTTCACTATTAAGAACAAAGCCATGACTAAAACTGTAAATTCATTAGGACTAGTGACGTTCTTCTCACTGGCAGTCACATAGACATGACTAAATTGATAATAGAAGTTGTTTTATTCTTTAAGGGTTCTGTGTGTTTTGACCTCTTGTAGTTTTAACTCTAACACAACCAATAAAAGTACCTTAACTGAAAGCAAAAAGAAAATTTGCTTGGTTTTACAATCTTTCCAATATCAGCCTGCTGTACATCCAAAAGAGAACAAGAACAATCTAGTTTGGTGAATGTCTAGTATTTTGCTGGTAAAAGGGGTCACATAAATAACATCCCCTCAAATGTCTGAAATATTAAAGAATACTTGATATATCAAATAAAAAAGCACAATCAACTAAATCATTTCTGTAGTGCAAAAATTGATCTGCTGTATTGCTATTAATACCACAAAAAAATTTCAGCCAGCTTCCTACTTGCCTAAGGTCAGTCCCCCTGTGTAATCCCTTACCAGGTGCTGCAGAAAAATTGGCTGTGCTGGTTTACTTATTTATTTTTCAAATAAGCAAGATCTTGTTTAAAGTGATTTACCTGCAGTGTCATACAAATTCAGAATTACTTCTTTATTGCCAACGGTAATACTGGTGGTATACTTCTCAAATACAGAAGGTGCATATTTCTGTCAAAAAAAGGAAATACAATTCTAGTTAAATGATAATACTATTTTGCAGTTCAGTAATCCCTTCACTCCAGGGATCTCAAAGCACTTTATAAGCATGAATGAATTAAGCCTTACAGGAACTATGGTAGACAGATATTATCCCCATTTTACTGATGAGGAAGGTGAAGCAGACAGGTTAAAATGACTTGTCCACTTTCAGGTGGCAAAGAGCAGAAGGGCTAGAAACAGCACTGACATCTCCTGTAGGCTATGTTCCCATATATTTGGTGTATGTACTCTAACAACAAGTTTTAATTCTCTGAAATGCATCTATACAAAGAGAAAGGAATGATTCAGCTGTTACAGGTTTCAAGCTTTAGTTGAACCTCCCCACCAATATTCTAGGTACAGCTGTTTTCTGAGCCCGATACCCGGTATTCTCCCTCCTAAACCTTTTGTGTTACCAGAAAGCCCCAACCATATCTTCACATTACAGGTTTCAATACAGAGACGTCTCTGAAAATAAGGCTGTTTACAAATGCCCAGAAGGAAAGTCATTCTTGAACTTAAAAAAATTGAAGGCACAACTGGCAAGATAGGGGTCTAAAACCAACTCTCAAATTTACTCAGAATAGCTCAGCCACCGCCTGGCAGTTGCTTCTCTCAGGCAGGTACAAACCAGTCGCCTGCACATCCTGCCACGACTTGGTTTAGCGATGAGTTGAACAGGCTCCAGAAAGCCCCCACCCCGCTTCCTGGAAACCCCCTGCACCCCCATGACAAACCTCCCCAGCCTCTCGCTAGCGCCAGCAGCGCGCGCCTCTGCCTCGTCTAGCGCCGAGCCCGGCGCGGCACCTGCTGTCGCTCTTGCAGCTCTGGCCAGCGAGGAACCACTTCTAGGGCATGAGTGTCCCCTCATCTCTCCGGCCTCCGGGCAAGAGCTCCGCAAATGAGCCCCTGGGTGGGGGGAGGGGGAGCCCGGCGGCCCAGGGGAGGGCTAGGCTCGTCCTCTTGGGGGTAGTCCTGGGGGAGGTGGGCAGAGCCCCCTCTTGTCGTGGGCTGCAGGGGGGGCTCCTGGAGATGCCAGCGGGCTGCCCCCTGCTGGGGCGGGAGGGCTGCCGGGCAGGGGCTCCTCAGGGAGGGGCAGGATGGGGGTCAGGCCCCGGCACTCACCTCCGGGAAGGCTCCCTTCGCGTACACCATGAGCAGAGACGTTTTCCCGCAGCCTCCATCCCCCACGATCACGATCTTCAGCTCCTTCTTCCCGGAGGGGGCGGGCGGGCTCTCGCTCTTCTTGGGGTCCCCGGGTCCCCCGCCGGGGACGGACCCGTTCGGCACCGCCATGGGCGGGGGTCCCCGGAGTGCGGGGGGATGGTCCCGGCTCTAGAGCAGCAGCAGCCCTGCGGGAGCGGGCGGCATCGCTGTCAGCTCGGCTCCCTGTGCGGCCGGGGGTCGCTGCTCTCCGCGAGCTCCGGGCTGAGGAGGGCGGGGAAGGGGCCGAGCTGCCCCGCTCCCGGCTCCGCCGGGGATTGGCTGAGGGGAACGCGCTCGGCTCGAGCCGCCTGCGCCAGCCGCAGCAGCCCCGGCTCGGCTCCGCTCCCTGGAGGTGCCCCACACACCGCAGAGCCGGACCCCGCCCCGCGGTGGCGCCATTGCCCGTAAACCCGCCTCCGCCTCACGGCCCGTAGGCAGACGTCGCTACGGGAGCCTTCAGTGCAGCCACTGAGACACCCCCCACCCACATACCCCCTCACACAGGGGCCCCATGGGCACTGAGACACCCCCGCACCCCCCCCCACACACAGATCCTCCTACACCCAGGGGCCCTAGGGAACTGAGACCCCCCCCTACATCCAGGGGCCTTATGGGAACTGAGACCCCCCCCACACACACACACACACAAGGGCCCTAGGGAACTGAGACTCCCTCACACACAAGGGCCCTATGGGAACTGAGACCCCCCCCTACACCCAGGGGCCCTAGGGAACTGAGACCCCCCATACACCCAGGGGCCCTAGGAAACTGAGACCCCTTTACACACAGGGGCCCTATGGGAACTGAGACGACCCCCCCCTACATCCAGGGGCCCTATGGAAACTGAGACCCCCCCCACACACAAGGGCCCTATGGGAACTGAGACTCCCCTACACCCAGGGGCCCTAGGGAATTGAGACCCCCTTCCCCTACACACCCAGGGGCCTTAGGGAACTGAGACCCCTTTACACACACAAGAGGGTGCATTAAGACCCCCCCCCATGGACTTCTATCTGGAAACCTTCATGCAGACCCCTCACATTGCACCGAGATCAACCCCATTTATATAGGAATCTTCAGTGTATGACAGACTTGTACATAGGTACTTACACTCAGAAGCACCTGGTGAATTGAGAAGCCCCCTGTCAGATATCCATCCCTTTACAGGAGCTCCACTGCACTGTTCCTAAGCCCTGCCCTCCCCCTAACTGTTCTGGCATCCTCACCTTTTCTCAAGAGCATTTCCTTGGGCTTTAAACATGTATTTTATTTGTTTAAAGTCTCTGGCAGCTGCAGGAAACACTTGTTGGAGGAGCAACATGGTTTTTACTCTCTCCAGAAATAAAAGCAGCCAAAAATATTTATATCTGACACACCAGGTACTCCTTTTCAGGCTGCAAGTGATGCGGTATCACAGGCGAAAAGAACAGCTGTTAGGACAATGAAGGTAACGTACTGAGGCAAGTTCATCCTTGATGAAACTCCAGATTATGTCAGTATTTCACCAGAGATTCATGTGGCTCACTTTATTAATTTCTAATGCATCTATCACCATGGTACTTAGCTGCCCTAGTCTTAAATTAGGAAATGTCAACTGTGTTCAAAGTTATTGGTAAAATACTAACCTTACTGTCATCAAATTTAGCTCTAATATTGTGTTTATTTCAGTTACATAGACCAAACCCTGTGTAAATGTTTATGCACAGACTTAACTGTACACACATAAGTAGCATCTGTTTAAAGATAAGAACCAAAGGGATAAGATTATAAATATGGCCCCGATCTTGCATTTCACTGGAGTTACTCTGCATTTACAATGTGGTAATTGAGATCAAAATTGGGCCCCACTCTCTGTAGGGACTAAGTCCTATACCTAGCATAGATGAACCACTTGCTCCCTCTTGAGTGAAGAGTGTCTCAACTCTTCTCCTATTTACCTTGCAAATCTAAATTCCTTGGGAAATTTGGCTCACCCCTAAAACTTTCTGAAATATTACTTGTGTAAGGGGTAACAATCCACCAACGGAACTGTTGAGTTTATCATTCCCCAATTTTACTTCATTTTTTTTTTAAATTACAGTTCACATGGGGTCTGACATTTCTTCCTGCATAGTTGTGTCACTAGATGGCCTTCGAGACTGCATGCAAAACACACTTTCACTACCAGTGAATTGTCTCATGCCCTTGGAGTCAGTGATGTTTCAAGGAAGACATTGGTTCATATACAGAGAACTGATTAGAAAAAGGAGGTGATATTACAGTGGGGGGGGGGGGCATATAAATACCCAGGTAGGAGCTGTAAAATCAAAATTTAAAGACAATGGGCATCTGAGCTCACTCCTATATGATGTTAACATTTTATTTTTGAGAAAATATAACAAACATTTAGAGTATATACATCTGTCAAAAGATAATACAAAACCTTATGAACATTCCTGACCTAAACATGCTCTTAAAGTCTGATCCTGCAAGATGGTAAGGGACTCAACTTGTATGGACTTCAGCTGAAGGAACTCAGCACTGCCCAGGAATGGCTCAGCATTTTGCTAGATTAGGCCCTTATACTCATCTCAAAATCAACAGATATGTTATAACCCATAAATATGCTTCTTCATGTTCCTTGAATGAATTACTGTAATTCGTAGAGTTTTAATTCAATAACTAATTCAAGGTAGGATTTGTTTGATTGTTTACAAAAAATATGTCTAAACTTCCCCTTTAATACTTTGTGTTAGGGGAAGCATTTTAGATTCAGGACTCAACATAATACAAATGAGCAATTTAGTCTACTCTCATCAACATATAGATAGATATAGTATTTTAAAGTAATAGATAGTCAACCTAACATTTGAAAAATGGAATCATTCAATATTTTGGTTACATTCATTATTTTAAATTAATGTTTGCACAATGTTTTGCACATATAAAGTAGTATATAAATGCTAAGTATTTTTCCTAGTTGTGATAAATGCACACACCTGTATTATGAGTCTGATCCTGAGTGGAAGTTTTGCCACTGACTTCAGTGGAAGCAGGGCCTGGCCTTTTATTAACAAATTGCAAATATGATTTTTAAAACCTGTAAGTATTTATCCCATTTATTTATTTATTGCAGATATAACAAGTCTAGCACCAGTACATTAAAGCTCAACTCTTATCCACTACATACTGTGAAGCACTAAGCATATAAACACATGCAGTGACTCTGGAAAAACAAGAATCTGCTGATAGTGGTATGTACATGTTTTGTCTATATTGCATTTTTATTACCACCAATATCGGTTACCAAATTAAATGTACAGTGCTCACCACTTCATCAACTGATACTTGGTTTATGTTTGCCACAAGACACAAATGAAATAGATTGTACATTAAATTGGGGTCCTGTTTACACTGGAGGCAAAATGATGCTAGGTATAGCCATGTTTAAAAATTAACATTAGAAGAGGGGTTCTTTAACCAAGGTGGACAAGGATTTTTGGCCTGCGGGTGTCATAAAACCATGCCGTAGTGTATTTAGTAGAGGGGAACTGTCTATTGTGATTTGGTGACATAGTTATCAGGAGAAAAAGAGAAAACATTGTCCACACTTCCACGAAAACCATGCTGGAACCCTATCATTTTAAAATGTTTTATCTACTTTACAAACTGCAGTTAAAGTCAATCCGTTAAGCAGATATTACTACACAGCAATCCACCTGAATTATTGTGTTTTTCTTGGGAAGAAAAATCAGCATTTTTTTTTTAGGTAGATAATATGAAATGAAAACAATAGCAGAAGATAGAGAAATTTTGTATATTACCAATCTAAGTGGGGAGCATAAGAACGGCTGTACTGGGTCAGACCAAAGGTCCATCTAGCCCAGTATCCTGTCTACCGACAGTGGCCAATGCCAGGTGCCCCAGAGGGAGTGAACCTAACAGGTAATGATCAAGTGATCTCTCTCCTGCCATCCATCTCCACCCTCTGACAAACAGAGGCTAGGGACACCATTCCTTACCCATCCTGGCTAATAGCCATTAATGGACTTAACCTCCATGAATGTATCCAGTTCTCTTTTAAACGCTGTTATAGTCTAGACTTCACAACCTCCTCAGGCAAGGAGTTCCACAAGTTGACTGTGCATTGTGTGAAGAAGAACTTCCTTTTATTTGAGAGGGGATGCTAGGATTGCACTTAAAAATTTTGTTGTAATTAATATAAAAAGGCAATAAAGAATAGATTTTTGCTTTAAAAATATATTTGGTTCTTTGCATTGGGATATAGAGACTTTCACTTATGGGTTGCCAGTTCAAATCTAGCCCAGACTGGTAGCTACTGAGAGTCGTTATATAATCTTGGGTACCCAATGAGAGATAAGTTTAGTGGTCTTAGAGCAGTAGTCAGTGATTGTGTGTCCTCATCACAACTGGCACTAATTGACAGTTTCAGCAGAGGACAGGGATTGAAGGGGCATAAAGATTGAACTCCTCTGCCCCCAAGACATAATGAAAGCACATCATGTTAAGGTTGAGGCAAATGATTAGGACCCTGTGGGGAAGTTTAATGCCAGTGTCAAGGATATTTCTTTATGGTGGATCAATAAGAGAACTCAGTGGTCAAGAGCTGTCAATCCCATACTTTTCAGCAGTACTGAAGTCACTAAAAACATTAAAATACATCAACAAAAAACCTACTAGTTATTAGTATTAAGTTTCAAAAAATAAAAAGCTACACACATGATTGCAGTTTTATTCTTTTTTTTTTTATTATTCAAAATTTGCAGGTTTGATTTGTCAGACTGCATTTTGCTTTTGTATGAAAGACCTTGTGCTTTCATACACTGAGCTGACAGAGCTTGCCTAAATTCAGAGGGTAAATACACTCAAATGGCATGGACTGATGTTAATAAAAGTGATTTAAAAATCAGAACAGGAAACTTTGATTTAAATAACTGAATTTAATCTTGTTTTGCATTTGTACTTTTTATTTTTCTAAAGAATAAACTTATTTAATTGGTTGGTATAATAATTAAAACACATCTGATTGCCTATGTACCAAATTTGGTGGTGGTGGTGGGGGGGGTGTTGGGGTTGTTTTTTTTTGCTAACAAGGACAGCACTATATCTTTACATATATACTTAAGTAATTATGTAGCTTAACATACATTTATTCAGTCTTAATTTTTACTTTATATTTTTACTTTTATATTAGAAAATGGTGAATGATTCATTTCTTATTAGATAATTTTACTCTCTATTTGTATCAAGCTGCATTTGAACAGAAATA